GCCGCCTCGGCCGTGTGGGTAGCCATTTTGTAGTTTTCTTCAGCCCAGTTTAACTGAATACTCACTACCTCAGCAGGAAGGCAAGAGCGCCTTCCCTGACTCAGCCAGTGCTCGCTATAGCCAACAGTAAGCCACGAGCTCCCCACAGAGTGTTAACAATAAACATTTCTGGCCCTCAAGCTAAAGGACTGTGGACTCCTGACAGCTTTTCTGTAAACCATGCCTGTTTACTGTGTGAGCTGTACATGGTGCTCATGGCCTGTGATTTTAAACAGTACTCCGACCATATGTTGAAAGCTATGGGTGTGAAAAAGTGGGTTCTGTCTATGTGGTAGCAGGACCCCATCTCAGCCAGATAGTGTTTCCAGACAATGTTCCCATGTGCCATCTCAGGGCTCCCCTGGGTGTATCCCAAAATGGCAATCCCAGAGGCTAGATGCTCTGGCTTCTCACAGACTGCACCATCTGGTCACCAGGGCCGGAAGGCAAGTCTCGCTCACAGGCTCTAGCCCACTTCACACATCTCTCCTGCTGTCCTAGAGTTCGGGGATCTAACAGGGACAAGCCCACTCTCTCCTATTTAGATGTATTTAAAGTTGGTTTCAAATGGGTTGTGATTGGATTTTCATTGGATAGAACACCAAATTGAAGACCTACACAGCCCCTCACTACATCTTTGCTTTCAAGCATGAGCAAACGTCTGGGTTACAAGCCATCCAAAATAGTTATTTGCCAGGGTGAACTCCACGCAGAGGCAAAGCCTGCACGAGTTGCCTAACTCAGTAGTTTACAGTAACAGTGTATAAGACAGCTTATCTGTCAGTGTACCTGCAACTGTGCACTGTTGCAGCCAGTGCCTGTGTCCAGCCCCTGTGTCCTTGTCTCCAGCAGCAGCCGAGGGCAGGGCTTTCTGAAGAGCACAGCAACATCAAGATAGTTCTGTATGCACTTATTTTATAGCACATGCACACTTTATAGTTTGTCACGGAGAAGACAGGCACCCAGCATTAACCAAGCTATGATCCACTTTTACGATAATGATGTCAGCTATTTATTTTTTATTGGAAAGGACAAAATGATATGTCTATGGAATCTCACCATTGTTTAAAAAGACTATTAACTCTTAAATGCTGTCCCCACAGGCTGGAATATAATAAACATGGTGGCCATGGATCCCATGTAGGGAAAGAGGTCTGAGCTTCCTCTGCTAACAAAACTGCTCCTAATGTGTTAGATTAAACATAGGGAAAGAAAAGTTCATGTTTACAACCCCATGAAATTAAAACCTGGTCATATTAAAGCTTGAAATGCACAGGGTCAAGCCGGGTATTATGCTTGCATTCCCAACACTAGGTCAAGTTTGAGGCCAGCCTGAGCTATAGCAGTACCAAAAATGTGGTACCAGCTTTGAGATCTGCTGTAACAAGAACAGGGCACACACGATTTGGACTGCTGGAAAAGTCATTTGCCCACACAGCTAAGGATCTGGCCAAGCTATGTTTGTAGCTATCATTGACTGGCATATATTCCATTAGACGGTTAGCATCCAAGTGTTAGGAGTTGTGAGCTACAAGTTAGTACAGCATACATCCAGGTCACATTGTTTTCCTTGTGGCTGCAGCAAGGATGGAATCCAGGGCCTTACTCAGATATGGCCAATGCTCTACCACTGAGCTGTATCCTCTGCTCTTGTCAACCCTGTTTTGACTGTGTCAGACACATAATAGCTGTTCTGGTCCCATGTTTATCTGCATAGGTTAGGTAAACCTTAGTGCCTCCCAAATTCCCCCTTCACTAAAACTCAACTGCTTTTTGTGAACAACAGTGTCGAACCAACACTTCTCCCCTATGAAGAACAAAAGCAGTGTTAGTTACTGTGGGTACTTGAGAAGCACTATGAGAATCTCATTCGGACCTGCATAGTGTATTATGTATCACTAGAACATTGTGTACCCATATGCATGTGTACCTGCACAGTGGCCGTCAAATCTAGACCTTACACCTGCTAAGCAAGTGCTTTGCCACTGAGCTACAAACATTCCACCCCTGTTGTTTGTTCTACTACAAGGTTACAAATAACTTATCAAAATTCACAAGTGAAGACAACTATTTTAGAAAAGAATTCTCTCACTTTTACCAGACAGAGATCTAAGCAGACTGGTGCAGAAGTGCTTCAATGTCCACTTCCACTTTATCCAGTATGAGCTCTTCACAGCTTCTGATGGGACCAGGTGGGGGGCTACTGAACGGAACAGGCTCCAGTCAGCTCTCAGCAAAGACTAAACTAATTAGACAAAGTGAGAAAACTTTTAAAATGGGACTGTGAAGACATGCTGTGTAATTCAGTGTCCACTGGGTGTCTCTGCTGGACTGACTGCAGTTGTCATGATTTGGACCTGAGACAATACAGAGGATCGCACATTAACTTCCTCTTATCTCCTGGTAGGGACATGAAGGTCCCTCTCCCAAAGAACAAAATGCCTGGCACTTGCTGTAGCCATCCCTATGTCCCAAACTATTGGACTCCCAATACCTTTACCTCATCCTTGCCCTGGGTAGGTACTGTGTTCAGTATGGACTCATGCAATCCAGGCTTGTGATCCTTGGATCCAAATGTAGGGTCTTGGCAACGCCTACAGATATCCACAGCTGCCTTCTCCAAACCTTGATCTGCCCCTGCTGTTTTCTGATGTAGATACCTTACCGGTGGCTTCTTTTCCCTAAGTCTCATCTGGTTAACACCTCAAATTCTGACTTTCTATGCTCTCCACAGACCGTTTGTCCCTGGCACCTAGTTAGAACTAGAGTTTAGAGGCCCACTTTATTCGGCTTATATGAGCCTCAAAATTCTTCCTTTCTACCAACCCTTGTTCATGTAACTGTTACCCATGTTTCTGACACCCACTAGTATTTCCCAGTCATGGTGTTTTTTCAAGACCCTAACTAAAGCATAAAAGGGCGCTTGCATTCAGATAAACAGTGCTTTCCCAGGGCTGCTGTGTCTGTGGAGCTAAGCATCCTTCCTGAAGTTCTCTATAAATAAACTTACCAGCCCCATCCAAGGCTTCCAGTCTACAGAGCAGAGGCCTGTCAAAGGCTTTGCCCAGCTGTAGGTACACCCCAGGCAGCTTGGCCTGTGTGGTTTGATGAGGCCCTGACTGGCAGCTGTCAAATCGCTTTCCCCAGTCAGTGTTCTGGCAGCGTCAGGAGGCTCCCTGGACTTCTGGGAATATTTTAGGTGGCGCGTGGCCTCAGTGGCATTTTCTTCAGGTGTGGTCTTACTATAAATGGAATGGAATATGTTTGGGCTATAGAAGCTGAGCTATGTGGTGGCAAGAGTGTTTTGCTCATTGCTATATTCCCAGACCCCTCGAGAGTCAAAATCCGTTCTTTTCAGAGCTGCCCTTAAGTAACTCTTGTACTTTTACCAAGCTTAGCACTCACTGAAGGGCTCCCCCATTTATGAGTCTTTAACAGATACCCAATTTTTAAACAAATAAATGGGGGAGGGAATTTTTTTTTGTTTGTTTTGTCTTACTATATGAAGGTAAGTCCCAAATCATTCTTGGAGACTTTGTCTTACCATGGGTGCTGTGACAGACCCCTATGAACCGCTCCATTTAGTAAGAGTGCTCAAATTACCCCGGGTAGTTAAAATCTAAGGGGGTCTTTCCAGTGTGAGGCTGAGTTAGAAGAATAAAGCAAAACCATTAACACTTCTGAAAAAAAAAATACCGGTGGATTGCTGTCTTGGTCTGAAGTAAGGAAGCTATTCTGTGAGCTAATACAGAAGCCACCACAGAATCAGTAAATCCGACTAGAAAACAGCATGGAAAACCATGAGAGCAAACAAAGCCAAATCAACTAGAAGACTAAGCTGCTCGTCACACTTGAAGGACTAATATTAACAGGTGAGGTTCTGATAACCACGTGGTCATAGTGGACAAAGATCAGTAAGCAGAGCCAGGGGATGCTTTCATATATTAAAAGTTGTTCATTTTATATAGTTAGGCAGACCACAGTGTCCAAGTGTAGCATCTGAATACCATCTCTGACCGGGATGTTGTGGGTGAGCAGCACTGTCAGACGGTAGGTGGCATGTGAACAGAACCAGCCTCTGGAAGGCAGAGTCTGTCAGTGCCTTTCAAAAATCAGTGTGTGGAGTCTCTCACTTTTGAATACTTACCGTAGAGATGCACGTAAAATGTGACATGACGTGGACAATGTCTAGAATCAACTCAAATGCTCAAGAATGGTACTGTTCAACTAAATAATGGCACAGCCATGGTAAGGATGCCCAGCAACCACTAAAGTGAAAAGGTTGTCTGTGATATGTGGCCTCTGCAATATCAGGTGATAAAAAGCAAATGGTATGTATGTGATGTCACTCCAAGATAAAGAGAAATAAGGCTTTATGTTTATATATGTTGGCTATTTTTTTTTAAAAAAAGGTATGGATGGAAATACAAAAAGCCAAGGGAAGAAGGCATCTGTGTGCACTGTGGCATTGTGTTTTTGGTATAAAATGTGTTTTTAACCACATGAATGTACCACCTATTCCTATTCAGAAAGTTAAATAAAACAAGCATTTTTTATAAAGCCTATGGCTCAATACAAATCAAAGAATGCCAAAGTTCCTATACTTTGATTGAATATAATAGGCCTTTACAGAAATGACACAAATGGCCCTCATTATCAGTAGAGGCTCTGGAGCCATGGGTTCTGGTGGCACTTTCAGGCTCCACAGCCATGAGTTGTGAATTTGGCTGAGTCTCAACTCATCTGTTTTTATGCTTTAAGAAATAACTGTACTTACCACCTAGTGCGCTGGTGACGAGCTGATGCATGTGGTACCCTAAGCACAGGCTGCCAGTGCCTGACATTGTGACTTCAAGAAGATCCCCCTCAGACGATGCAGACGTGTATTTTCTTCCTGATTCTTAAGTTATAATTGATTGCTCTTGAAATGGAGGAAGAAAAAAAAACCAAAGCAACAAAGATTGCAGAAGCATGTACTTTAATTCATGGTCTAGATTCTGGTAGGTACAACAGTGAATTATATGGAATTCTCTGAAAACTCAAAGCTGCACCTGTAGATGTTACTTCAAACAAAGAACATGAGGATTTCTGTGCTTGGCTTGTGCCATGGAATTTCCATGACACCGTGTACCTGGTCTGAGCTTCTGGTGACTAGCCTTGACTTCTGCAGCTGCTGGGAGGCCTACTGTGAACTGTGTCCAGATGTCCAGCTGAAGGCAGTGCTGAGAAGACCAGCACAGCCGTCCTTCCTTATGCACAGTGGCACCTAGGCAGAGTCGAGAAATACGGCATAGCATTTCACACACACGACACAGAAGGCCAACATTTGACTTGTCAACTTTCAAAACTGAGGTCTTGTTGTTTTGGCTGATCTGCCACATAATCCAAAACAGGAGGCGTACTGACTGACCATTTTAGTGTGTACAGTGTGTCTACCGCGAATGCCACTACAGGAAAACAAGCATAGGCCACCAAGGGAAAACACTTGCTCTTCTTCACGCTGATTATGTCACCAGGTATAATCATTCCCATCCATTTTGCTTGTCAGGTGCTAGATTTTTACAGTAGGCGACGAGACACAGACAGACAGACAGCACGTTGTGGCTCGGCTGTCGAGCGCTCTCAGTGTAGGCTCTCAGCACTGGTGCAGAACTGCAGACAGCCTCCTAAGGATCAGCAGCGTACAGTCTCCACAGTCCTCAGATGCATGGAAATATATGCCACGCACACAACCGTAATGCACGTAAAAGTTATCCAACGAACATCAACTGAGGAAATTCAGTGAAACCTTGGGTACATTCTAACTTAATCACGGCTTCTCAATTTCCTAGCACACACTCCAACACTACTGTGTGTCCTAAGCTTGGAATAAATCACAGTTAAGAAAAATTCAGCAAGTGGAAATGAAGTTTTTTTCTGAAGCCAATAGTGTAAAACAATAGCATCTAACTGCAGTAATGGTAAGTAACATTACCAAATTGACCTCTGCATTTAAAATAAAAACAAAAAGTGCAAAATTTTCACATTTCCTTACATTCTAAATGGACACTACAGAACATTTCTTACTAATGCACTAGCGAGGTCACTGGTATTTACTTTGTGGGCTTCTGTCTTACAGTGGCCCACTCCCATCACACGGCAACACTTGCAACTCTTTAAAATAAAAAGCAAAAAAACAAAGCCATCTTAAAAAAATAATCAATCTATAAAATTCACCACTATCAACAAAACATAAGTTTATAAAGGTTAGAAATTAGGAGGGAAATAAGTAGTGAGGCCTCAGTCCCCCATCAGCCCTCCACAGTGGATGACGAAGCACTGAGAGAGGAGGGAGCCAACTCAATCTAGTACACACCATGAAGTCACAAGGAAGACAGGTCAGACTTTGGCAGATAAGATGTGGGTTTAAGAGCACTTACTGTTTACTTCAGAAAGACGGAATCTAAGGAAAAGTGAGACTTTGGACTCGCATTACTTCCACACAGATAAAAACCTTTCAAGTAATCTCATTATCCACTGCCACCCTTAAAAGAACCAAGATTTAAAATATTTAAAGACTTTAAAAACCAGGTTTAAAAAATGACAGTCTAGGGTCTTCCAGTCCTCTACTGTCTTAAGTCACACCACGGACGGCTGATCTGGGATGAACTGAAGATGGAAAAGGGGGGAAGTGACACTCCTGCCAAAGCATCTCACCAGACAGAATCACACCAAGAGGTAGAGGATTGCATAGATTGTGTCAAAATCAAATATTGAAAATGCTTACTTTAAAATAGCAAAATTTGTGTATAATGCAATTAGCATTATAAACCCACAGGATCCCATTCAAATTTTATGAATAAACAATCCATTAAATAAATAGGGCTTTTCATAAAGTAACTGAAAATGTTTATAATTAGGAGAGGAATGACGAAGTCCAAAGAAGAGGAACTGTAGGCTTTAGGGAATGGACACCCCACTCTGAGCCAGCCTGGTGTACACAGGACATCTGGCTAAGTATGCATGGGAGGGCACTCACCCACCTCCACCAAGGCAGGTCCCTTTAGGCCAAAACCAAAGCAGCAACAGCAACTAAACAACTAAACTTCTTAAAGTGGTTGAGTCCTGGGAAATCATCCAGAACTTCTCTCACTAAGCACTGAAAGGCCTATTCATTATAGTGACAGCCCCGTATCACACAAGATGACACACAGTGTTAGGCAAGGCGAAAACACTAACTACAGCACTGACAACTTTCTGTCACTGAGACCAGCCCTAGGCAGCACTGGTTTCCTAGTTCTTCTATCACAGACTGAATAGTCTTCTCAGGATAAACACAGTCATTTAAAGTTTGACAACAAGGAATGTAGGGTAATACAATACAAACAAAACCAATGTGAAACAAACATGGAATTAGTATAACTTACAATTTTAAAGTATATACTTCATTTATAAATATCTCTAATCGATATTCTATTAAGGATCATAAATATTCAAGTGAACATTTAAATTTTCTCTTTAAGAGTTCAGAATTCTTGAAGTCTTAGACACTTTGTCTGCTCAATGTCCAAAGCTAAAAGGCTTCACATAGTCCGTTATGTCTACAGAGACATAGAAAAGTCTTCATTACCTCCTGTGCTGTAATAATGCTTTAAAGTTCTGTAATTCTCTTATGCTTGTAGAAAGCCTACAGGAGGAAAACAAGTGCATATTAATAAGGACAGCTGATGAGATGTGCACACATTTCAAATGCTGATACTGGATCCTTGAGCTGTATAACCTGGAAGCAAAAATCTAAAAGAACCAAACACTAAATATTGAGAATTTCATTTTATTTACTTTATTTTTCATTGCATATATTTGGGTTTTATTGCTGGGAAACATGCAAAACTAAAACTGAGATAATGCTAAACATCTACAAAGTTTCCAACTACAGAAAATGCCAAAATCCTTATGTTCAAATCCACATCACAGACACACTGAGTGTGCTCCCTTCCACTGTCTGAAGAACTAAGTCCAGCATACAAAGTGACACAGGCAGGAGATCTGGGTGTTTAGAAGGAGGTAGGCACCGTAGTGCTATAAGGTAAGTTAACCCTTACTTGAGCAGACAATTGGAGGAAAGCCTAGAAATAAAATCTTTCTAGGCCTACCCTGTATGGAACATTTTATAAAAAGGAAGTTACTTTATATTCTTATATCAAGTCTTTCAATCTCTGGCCTCTGGTTTTTTGTTTTGTTTTTAACTTTAATTAGAACTGGATTTATAAGGATATTTTCATATATGTATACAATGTGTCTTAAAATATATTCTACCCCTACTTCTGCTTTCTCCATTCTCATCCCTCCCCCATCTCATTAATGTTTTGTTACCCTAGTTTTCTTTAATGTCATTTATACAAACATGGTGTGTGTGTGTGTGTGTGTGTGTGTGTGTAGGCGGAGACTGCTCATTCATTTCCCAAGTGCCCAAACCCAAATAATAATGTAGAAGCTATATTAATTACAACACTGCAACACTGTTTGGTCAATAGCTTATGCATATTTCTAGCAAACTCTTACATCTTAAGTTAACCCATTTCTATTAGTCTGTGTATCACCATGAGACTGTGGCCTACCAGTAAGGTTCTGGCCAGTAGCTGGTGTCTTTCTCCTTCAGCAGCTATGTGGCATCTCCCTGACTCCACCTTTCTCTCTTTATCTCTGTTCAAATTTCTACCTGGTTTTACTAGGCCATTGGCTGAAACAGCTTCTTTCATAACCAATGTAATAAAACATATTCATAGCATACAGAGGGGACTCCCACGTCATCTGTGTTGTGTGTGTGTGTATAAAATCTGTATCCACAAATGACAGAAAACATTGTCTTTCTGAGCCTGATGTGATTCACTATCTTGAGTTCCATCCACTTCCCTACAAACAGTATAACATCATTATTCTTTATACTATAAAACGAATTCTGTATATGTACTACATTTTCACTATAGTATTAGACATGATGGCATCTGGCTCTGGGGGTGGTAAAATGACTCAATTCCGACTCTGATGTAAACTGTTGGTAGCTCTCTTGGAGCCAGGGCAACTCAGACCCAGTATGCAGTCAGGAGCAGAGAAACGTAGTGACTCATGGGATGCCTGTTTTGGCAAGAGATAGAAAGTGCAGAGAGAGCACAGAGAAACAAAGGATGAAGCAAACCTATGAGAATTTCGTTTTAAATAGATATGCTGTACCTCCATTAAAAGTGACAAGTCACAGGACTTTGGTTCTTTGGGCTTGCTTAGAAGGGCAAAGGAAGCCAATTCATCTATCTTCACATCAATACTACAGATGAGAGCTAGGTGTGGTGGTGCACGCCTTCAATCCCAGTACTCAGGAGGCTGAGGCAATGGATCTCTGAGTTAGGAGGTAGCCTGGTCTACAGAGTGAGATACAGGACCGCCAGGGCTACCAAAGAAACCCTGTCTTCAAAACAAAACAACAAAGACTGTAGATGAAGGGCAGAAACAGTGCCATGAATGGCTCACAAGTATTTGTTGTGTCCTACAAGGTCCTTCCCAACTCCCATTACCTATCTACATTTATGGTACTGTGTAAGTGATTGCCAACGAATAAATAAGCAGCTCAAACCCAGAAATAAAATTCTGGGATGCAAAGAAATGAAAAACCTACAAGTTCATTTTTCCTAATGTACAAAATTCAGGGTTAATCAATCAAAACTCCAGTATTTCTCTTCTATAACCTAGTAACACAGTGTACACTGCCAACTACTCTTTTTCTTTACCCAGTACTTGAAGAGTTCCTGTTTACTGGGAGCTTAGGAGGCCACAGGCAATGATATGAGCCCCATCAAGTGTATATACTCAAGTAACTTAAAGAATGCAACAACAAAAGGTAGCTAGAACTTTGCTTTTACATTTTAGGTAAAATCAGGTTCAAATCATGTATTTTTCAGGATCCCCAGTGTGGTAGTTTGAATGTAATTGGCCCCCATAATCTCATAGGGAGTGGTGCTATTAGGTGTGGCTTTGTTGGAGTTGGTATGGCCATGTTGGAGGAAGTGTGTCACTGTGGGGGTAAGCTTTGAGGTTTCCTATGCTCAGGATACCACCCAGTGTCTCAGTCGACTTCCTGTTACCTGCAAGATGTAGGACTTTCAGCTCCAGCAGCATGTCTGCCTAGATGCTGTCATGCTCTCCACCATGATAATGGATTGAGCCTCTGACATTGCAAGCAAGCCACCCTCAATTAAATGCTTTCCTTTATAAGAGTTGCTGTGGCCATGGTGAGTCTTCACAGTAATAGAAACCTTAACTAAGACATCCAGCTAGCAAGCCGGGCAGTGGTGGTACACGCCTTTAATTCCAGCACTCAGGGAAGCAGAGGCAGGCGAATCTCTATGAGTTTGAGGCCAGCCTGGTCTACAAAGCGAGTTCCAGGACAGTCAGAGATACACAGAGAAACCCTGTCTCGAAAAACCAAGAAAAGAAAAGAAAAGAAAAGAAAAGAAAAGAAAAGAAAAGAAAAGAAAAGAAAAGAAAAGAAGAGAAGAAAAAGACACCCAGCTAGCAGGTCGGTTCTGAGGTTCTGAAGAGGTGTACTGCTGGCAAATGGCAGGCCAGGATCCTAGGACTCCAAACCTGTTTCCTAGCCAGCACTCCCTAGGGGAGAATGGGCTCTAGATAAGAGCTGAAGCTAGAAGGGACATTTCTAAAAGCCAGTCATCAGCTGCTACCTTGTGAGCTGTATCTCAATTAGCACAGATGTCTTCACAGAGAGAAGAGCTGGACACAGCAGCTCACACCCTAGCACCAAGGGCTGAGGCAGATCAGAGTTCCAGGTCAGCTTGCACAAGAGCAAAACCCTGCCTAGATAAAAATATGTGGGGGAAACAGGTGAAGGCTTGGCATTAAGATGGGACATATCTAAGTTATCTTTAAAGTCATCGGTCTCCTTTGAATTTAAAGTCACACTCATAAAACATACACATTAATCCCTGTCATCTGGTTCCAGTTTAAAAACAACTTTTCTCCATGATGTGACTTATTTTGCCCTACTGTTATAACACTGCATACAATTTCCTGATTCTTTTCCTTCTGCTTTATAACCCTCAACACTGCATAAATCTCCCTATAAATTCAAATTATATTTATACCCATTTCTGATATAAGAAGCAGTGTATGTGTATGTATAGACTTTCCTGATACTGAAAGAAATGGAATGTGGGAGAGGACTCCCACACATTGCTTAGGCAATACAGAGCAGGGAAAGGGCAGCATATCTTTGATTACTTCTCGATCATATCCTCCTCCTGTCTACTATACTACAGCAGACAGTAGCCAACTAAAGTAAAGAATTATTAGGAGACTCTTTCCCCCATGAAACTGAGAAGTTAAACTGAAAGGCACTGGTACTGGAAACTATCAGTTCTTCCTAGGACTGACAGAGAACTGACTGTGAGCCTGAAGGTCACACTAAGCAATCAGTTTAAGTTGTTATTTTGTTTTGTTTTGAGACACGCTTTTTACTACTTAGGCTAGGTTGGCCTTGAACTCACGATCTGCCTTCCTCAGCTCCTCAAGCTGGGGCTGAGTGTGTGCCATCACACCCAGCATTTGACTCTTCTGTTAGCAAACCAAACCAAAGCATGCCTTTGGGGGAAAAAGACAATCTGTGCAGTATAGTGAAGCCTTGAGGGAGTCAGGTATCAGCTGCAGGTGCAATTCTTACCTTCCAAAAGCATTTACAAGAGCAACTATTTCCTGCCGGGTGAGCTGGAAGCCTTTAGATGGACTGTTCTCCGGAAGTTTCTGGATTTCTTTTTCAGAGAATAGTATCTTCAAGGCAGTTCCTAAGCCCTGAGTCTAAAAGAGAATATTCATAAACTTACATTAACGTCACACCATAGCTACTGTGAAGAACTGCTCAGTAAAGACACTGAACACCCTATGAGGGAGCCGGAGACATGGCCCAGCAGTTAGGAATGCTTGCTGCTCTATCCAGTGGCTCATAAGCACCTGTAACTCCAGCTCCAGGGAATCTGACATCTTCTACTGGCCTCTCTGGGTATGTGAGAGCACACACGCACACACAAACACACACATACACACACCTAAATAAAAACAAGAAAAAATGATTTCTTTTAAAAATCCTACGAGTTGAGCTTTACGATACAGTGCTGGATTATGCGTAGAACATTGTCTATTCCCTCACAGGTCACATGTACATTAACACAACAATGCTCAGGAAAACTTGAGCAACCTGATGCTGGTTGAACATGTTTCTGTTCCAGATGACTGAAGTGCCTGTTTTTATCATCAGAACCACAGTGCTGACTTGGAATCTTGAAAGCACTAGTTTTTTTTTTTTTTTTTTTTTGTAGTGTTAGGGGATCAAACCTGCTCTACCTCAGCTCTCTACCCCAGACCCCTTAAACACAGTTGCTGCATTTAGAACCCTTAGCAATTCAAAGTTCCAAGAGCACTGCAACAATAAGATATTTCTCAGCACTAGAGAAAAAGAAAAATCTTAATTTCAGCACAGCTGCCTTTAAAATAATCCTATCTCACCAGCTGGTGCAGAAAGATAATAATAATGCCTTGAGAACAAAGCAAGACCTGTCTTTAAAAAAAATACCCACACAAACAAAAATTAATTTTGCCTTTTGACTTTCTGTACTTATCATCATCTTTGGAAGAAAATAAGGTAAAAATCAAATAATCCTCTGTACAATGAACATTAAGGCCTGCCCCACAGAACTTTAACATTTTGTGCTAGGTAGCCTTTCACCACTGAAACAAACCATGTCCAAAATTTGATGTTTAGGGCTTATATAACCAATTTTAAATATGAGTCTAAGATGGTACTAAGACAAGGAACACAAAAATGTGCTTGCTCATGAATCAGTCTAGTAGTGTTATCTTTCAGTAACAATACAAAAAAGCCACACTTGGATCTCCTTGTTTCCAAACACTAATTCATTGGACAACAAATAAATCTTGATAAAACTAAGCAGCTGGGCAGTGGTGATGAATTCCTTTAAGCCCAGCACTTGGGAGGCAGAGCCAGGTAGATTTTTGTGAGTTCAAGGCCAGCCTGTTCTTCAGAGCTAGCTCCAGGACAGCCAGGGCTACACAGAGTAACCCTGTCTCTAAAAACAAAAACAAAGTAAGCAGAAAAATGTAAGGCTATGAACAGTCTGAAAAGGAAAGACAACACACACACCTGTAATTTCCCCCACAATCTGCACTTATCACATCCCACACAGTCCATGATACGGGAGATGTTCTTGAAATGTAACCGGAATTCCTCCTGATGTGCAGAAAATACCAGAATTAGACTTTTGAAATTAAGCTACATTTGGTTGAATTATATATAGAATAAAGTTTTGAAGTTTACAAGCGATTAAGTTGTTTTTCAACAGTAAAAGCTCTGACTCTGTGTACACAACATAGTATGTCACACGACAGACATTAATAGGAGCCAATATCCCTGGTGCACATTTAACACGTTTTACTGAGAAGGCACTTAACAAAGGGCTGGAAAGTTAACAGTGGGAGAGGTCTTTACTTGTAAGAACTGAGTTGTGGCTTACATTGAATGGTTTCTAAAATCTACTTTGTCAGGGTATTTCCTCACAGCAACAGAAAAAGGAATGAGTGTAAAACATAACTCAGACTGTTGGCCATAGAACAGATCCAGCTGCAAACACTCAGTGCTACGCTGTCCCATAGGTCCTCAATCAACAGTGATCTAATCAGACTAACATCAAAGTGTTGGACAACTAGGAAAGTTTGGATGAATAAGATGAAAATACAACAAATGGCTTCCACAATGCCCCCATTACCTTTAATGACTTGGCCCCCTTCTTGTCACCTGCAAACATGGATTTCTCATCAAAGTGCATGGGAAAGGACCTGATGAAATGACAAGACTATTAGTACGTTACTAATGAAAAGTCCAAAGCTTGTCCTAGCACTCTGCTAAAATTTTATAGCCTTACAAATATTTGTAATGAAGGAGGGTGACAGTTCACACATACACTAGTAAGACTACAGCAAGCTATTCTCTCTCTCTTTTTGGGTTTTTCTTTTCTTTTCTTTCTTTCTTTTTTTTTTTTTTTTTGAGACAGGGTTTCTCTGTGTAGCTTTAGAGCCTTGTCTCGGAACTTGCTCTGTGGACCAAGCTGGCCTCGAACTCAAAAGATCCGCCTGTCTTTGCCTCCCAAGTGCTAGGATTAAAGGCGTGTGCTACCAATGCCCAGCTAAGACTGCAGTATCTTAAGGAAATTAATAAAATTATTTACAAGTGAAAAGCAATCTCCAAATATGCCAACACTCGTATTCTTGTACATGTTAATGTGCAGTTTACTTTAGTCATTCACTGTCTACCTTTTCCTTCGTGTCTTTCTGTAACACGGAGAGAATTGTTTTACAGACTACAGATGATTTAAACAGTTATGTGACAGAAGGAAGCTAATAGCACCTTGTATTCTCACTGTAATTCTTATGCACTTACTATGACTCTTTGCAAGTTTAAGCAATAACTGAAAGGATACTAAATCAGTAGAGCATTTTGACACTACATAAAATCTTCGGTTCTTTATTAAAATATACATGGCCTATTTGCAAGTGTAAACACTTCTGCAGCCAAGCTTCAGGAGGCTTTTTACTCAGCATCACTAAAACTACTGTGGTAATATTGCTCCTGTGTTCCTTGGCTCTGCATCTCTCTTTGCTAATATTTGGAGGATTCCAAAACTGACATTTAAGTCTTACTTTGTGTCCTGAAAGATGCTAAGGAGAAGAGTCTTGGTGTCGGCATCTTCTTCCAAGTTGCCAGTGTAAAGATCAACAATTGAGCGCTCAAAATAAGGGGCCACCTTTGACAAAGCACGAAGTTCAATCAAGTATAAAAAGTATAGATTCTTCAGTCTTCGTGGACCCTCCCCCTTTGTTTCCACTGGATCAAAGCGGCGTTTGAATTCTTTGATGTTAGGTCCCCAACTAGGTTTACCCCAGGTTTCTGAAAATAAAGAGAAATATATTGTCTTTTAGTATAAAAAGTGTTTTTTGTTTTGCTCTGCAGAATATGTATTTTACTTTCCAACACTTTTTTATAGTATCTTAGAAGCAAAACAGTCTCCATTTATGAAATCTGATTACCTTCCAGAAGATAATTTGCACACAGATGTAAATTGATGCTGGCATGTAGTCCTGATATAAGCTTATAGAACACTCTCTTCTCAAGACACAAACCTATTCAGAAAAACAAAACAAAACAAAATCCATGCCCATTAGATACAGAATATTTAATCAAAACAGGCAGTACCTGGGTTTTAGGTTAATATTTAAGAGCACTGTTATGGCTGGATATGCAGTATCCCTACAGGCTTAGGTTTGGAATTCTTAGGTTTGTTTTGGTGGGGCCTAGCTGGAAGAAATACAGCGGTGGGGGCAGAGCCTGAGGGGCAATGTTATTCCTGTCTGCTTCCTGTTGCCCTCTGCCTCCAGTCTGCAGTACAGCTGTGCTCTACCACACATTCCATCAGGATGTTCTTTTCACACGCTCAGGGCCAAGTAGCCATCGAGTGTACCCTCTGAAACTCTGAGCAACATTAATCCTTCTGTATGTAAAAAGTTTCTGTCCGCCATGTTGTGCTGTGGGACAATGGTCTTGTACCTTGTAAAGATTTGTCATTTGTACTTGTTTAATAAAATGCTGATTCACCAGTAGCCAGGCAGAAGTATAGGCAGGGTGACCAGAACAGGAGAACTCTGGGAAGAGGAAAGGCTGAGCCTGAAGCCATCACCCAGATGCAGAGGAAGCAAGATGAGAAAGCCTCACTGATAAAAGGTACCAAGCCACATGGCTAACACAGACAAGAATTATGGGCTAATTTAAGATGTAAGAGCTAAAAAGAAGCCTGAACCAATAGACCAACCAGTTTATAATTAATGTAGACATTTGTGTATTTATTTGGGACTGAATGGCTATGGAACTGGGTGAGACAGAAATCTCTGTCAACAATGTTGATCTCTTGACATAAATGTAACTAACAGACATTAAAAACAAATCAAGAGATAACATACAATCAGATGGGGATTTTCACTAGAAAACAGTAAGATTCTTGCTTCAGAATAGGCTTAACTACTGAATATAATAAAAAACTTAACACAGAACAAGACAGAAAAGCCTGATCCCTGAAGATGCCCCAAACACTGTGGATGTACCTGTGAAGTTCCTACACTACCCACAAAGACCTGTTCCTAGGCTACCCTGAAAGCAGCTGCACAGGCTGTAGTTTAGACTAAGAATGTTCTAAACACAACTTATATTTACAACACAAGACAAGCCCCACCACCATATGGAATTCAATGGCATGATGTAAAGTCACTTCATATAGTTTCCTTAACCCACAAAGGTTTCTGGTCAAAATTTATGGCAAATACTAACACAATCCCATGATCCTACCTACCCCTACTACCCTATAAGATCTTCTCTCATAGTAACATACATTGTAAGTGCACTTAGTGCCACCAAACGGTAAGTAATCTTAGGAATGGCAAAGACGGGGCTGAAGGGAGAGGCTCTGTAGCCGAGAACATGCATAGCATGCACATGATCCTGAGTCAACTTTCAGAACTAACATGCTCATTTATACTGTATTCATTATGCCACAATAAAAAGGAAAAATTTGATGAATATTCTTTATAAAAATTTTAAGAAAAAATGAAAATGCAAAATAAAAAGCGAAATTTGTTTTATGTGCACGAATGAATATTTGCATGTATGTATGTGTACCATGCGCATGTGTGGTGCCTATTGAAGTCAGAAGAGGGCATTGTATCCCCAGGAACTGGAGTTACAGATGATTGTGAACTGTCATGTGGGTGCTAGGACCCAAACTTAGGTCTTCCGAAGGGGGGAAAAAAGTACTAAAGTACTCTTAACCACAGAACCGTCTCTTATGTCCTCTGAATAGAAAACTAAGAATCTGTTAGATGCAGCTTTTCTTTACCACCCAACAGGTTTTTATTTATTTTCTTTTAAACACTTTTCCTATTGGGGAAAATGTGGACATTAGGGTACAGTCTCATTTATGTGCCAGGAGAATTTTCTTAACATAAGAGCATCTATGTGGCTGACCGCTGCACTATATCAAGGCCTCTCAGATCATTAGTTTACTGTCTTACCACAGATGGCTCTGAAACAAATACCCTCGAAATAGAAAACAAAAACAAAACAATTCACTTGAGATCTCATTCTCTAATTCAAAATGTTATAGAAACTAAAACATAGAGATTAAAATTCATTTTGTAGCTTTCTGCAGAAAGTATATGGCCAATGTTAAATGTTTGTAACAAGGACTACAAGTAAAATGAAAACTTATTAAAATATTAAGTACTAACTTCAAGAAAAATTTTAAAAAATACATTATCAAGAAGCAAATGGTCAAATTTATGATTCAATTTCTATTCCTTCTAACCTACTGTATGGGCAATGTTTCTATCTTACAAAATGGCCAATGTCTAGAGATGTGACAGCAAGTTCATGAAAATTCACTAAAAGTCAGGGACTGGAAAACAGAGGAATTCTTATTTGCAAAGTTCACAAAGCCTGTAAACTGGAACAGGGTAAGTACAGTGAGGAAGGTGGAGCAGAAACATGCTTCTGTGACCTGGGTGACCTCAAGCAAAATACTGACATCAAAGATGTACCAAATGACTGCACCAAAAGGACACACAACATTGGGCGGAGATGCTGTAGACCTTCTGGCCCAACCTGGTGACGAACAGGTGGGACTGTGCCCACGAAGAGCAGGCAAAAGTTTCTACCTCTTGCTCTGAAGTAACACAAAAAGCCATCCTGCAAAGGCAATTCTACCAACTTCTAGTTCTAATGATACATAGCAAGTTCGACCAGCAAATTTAGGGAGATCACTTCTATATTTAAGAGCACTCAAATTAAGTTTTCAATGATGGGTTTATGGGACACTAAATATATGTAAACATTTTTCTCACACAAGTGTTAGATTTTCTACTGTCACAACTGCCCTGAATTAGAATAGCTCTTGGCTGTTTTCAGGAAATTCTCCACCAACAGCGTAGGTGGCAGCACAGTTACTGTCACAGCCCAGCTGAGGAAACAATCTCAGAAGAGACTGAGCCAGTTGTCTGTACCTAGATGTGCTCTTAGGAACCACACACTCACATTCAGTGTTTCCAAGCAGCACAGTGGGGTGGAATGGTTGATGCACAGGGCCTAAGGTCAAACACTGTCAGATTTCATTTTCCTCCTCCATTATCAACATTATCAACATTCAAGTGTCTATCTCTCTGAGTCTCAATCAGGAGTGTTAAACTTATAACTCATGTGTTAACTCATCCAAGAATATCTATAAATGCAGCCTAACATGCTTGTAGACCACAGTATCATGTCACAGTGTCAAATGTTGGGTGCCCCTGATCTTACTTTCCACATTGTTCATCTTTAGGGTAAACTTAAGTTTTGCATCATTTTCCAACACAACTCATAATAGTAGTCACACATGTTCACTTTAAAATGACCAATATATACATATAAGTGACTAAGAACAAACAGAAATTATGTTCATAAGAAACACAGCCAGCTAACAACTCACAGAATCAACTACTTAGAGTTTAACGCTTTGTTGGAAGCTATGGCTAGAAAACAATGATTTGCCTCTACCACTCAGCTTGTTAATTCATCCTCCACCAATATAAAACAGTATAGCATAATTTCAAAAGCATCATAATCCCACTTACTAATCAAGGCTGTTAAACTCCTAGAGTATCTAGCTTTTAATTCATAGTATTTTATATTAGTAATAAGGAAAAGACAAAGAATGAAAAATGTGAGGTAAACTATATTGCTTTAAATTTTCATTAGGCAAATGTGGACTGTATGAACATGGGTACATACGTACCATCTTCTGCATTTAATTCTCCTTGCCTTGTTTTACACATCACAAGTGCTTCCTTCCTAAGAGAAATTCCCCTGCTTTAAAAGCACACTTGTTTGCTACTTACATAGGTTAACACCGAGGAAAACCCAATAACCTGTCTAGCCTGCATATTCATCTGGTACTGATTTTTGGCGCCAACATCCTCAAGATTTTCACATAATTTTATCACAAAATATAATAAACTAAACAACGTTAGTTTCTTTCAAATATTGTTGAGTATCAGTTGTCTAAACAATGAACCACAAATAAAAAGTTTACCTTCTAGCCAGGTATAGAATGATTCTCCTTTAAAAAAAAAAGAAAAATTGGTTAAAATATTTTAAACATTGGTGTATAAAAAACAAATTTAGGTCACTTAAGAACTACCTCTAGGGATGCCTACTTCTTTAAATAGTAAAACGGGCATACATTCCTAGGAAAAACCCATATATAATTTAAAAAACTCTGGAGAGTGTCCTTACAGGTATCTTAATTATTAAAATATATAATTTTAGTGTAAATACTAAAATTTAGCTTATTTACTGAAAGTTTAAATACAAATGCATGGGTACAAACACTTAATGAACTTAAATCTGTCTGAGGTAACAAGCCTAGTATTATACCAGCAAACGATAAATACAAAAATTAAATTATAACTACTCAATTTTTCCTAAGGCAATAAAGCTAAGGTTAGCAACAACGTGCTGTGTTCTTACAAACTGTGGAGAGATTTTATAAGTGGTTTTTGCCACAAAAAAGTATGTGTGTGTGTGTGTGTGTGTGTGTATAGAGAGAGAGAGAGAGAGAAAGAGAGAAAGAGAGAGAGAACACTAATCTTATTTAGCTATTCCCTATGACACATGCTTCAAAAAACTGCTGATAAATGTACATAATTATGTCATTAAAAGACAGAAGATAGTTTCTGGTTCAATAATGCTCTTCTGAGTTAGGAAGGGAAAGAAAGGGAAGTGCTGCTGTACTTCCTGAGAGAATGACAGAAAACCTAGCCCAGAGGTGCTGCCCAGTCTCTAGGATAAGCCCCGGGAGCTCCTCTGCCTCCTGAGTGCTCCCCATTCTACCACAAAACAGCAGACAGCCTTTGCAGTCCCTCCTCCTCCTCCTCCCCTTGTTAGGGGCTGTTACCATCACACTTCCTCAACCTCCACTGCAAGCTCCCATTTGGCTGGGAGAACGAGGACAAGAGGCCTCTTAACCCATCCCTTTGGACTTCAGTCTCTCCACTGCAGACCAGTCACAGGGCACTTACTGCTCAGCTCTCAGGTTCATGCCATTTCCTCCGACGAGCCTGCACTAGCCAGTTCTACTGAGCTACACCTGCTCCTTCACTTCAGCGTTCACCTCAAAGGCCACTTCTTCCAGGAGCCTTTCTCATCATGTCCTGTCATACATGAAGTGCTTGGCTGCATCCTTACTGAGTTACAGCTGCTGGGAAGGGGGTCTGAGATTCCGTATGTTACTGTGTCGGTGTGTACTTACTGAGTCACATCTGCTGGGGTCTGTGTCTGAGATTCCGTATGTTGCTGTGTCGGTGTGTACTTACTGAGTCACACCTGCTGGGGTCTGTGTCTGAGATTCCGTATGTTACTGTGTCGGTGTGTACTTACTGAGTCACACCTGCTGGGGTCTGTGTCTGAGAGTACTTACTGAGTCACACCTGCTGGGGTCTGTCTCTGAGCTTCTATATGTTGCAGAGTCAGTTGTGCATTGCATTTGCTTTCCTCTGTGCATCCTTGGCTCACAGAGGGAAGGTGTGAATTTTATATAATCTCCCAGTCTGCATAATGCTACTGAACACAGGTAAGGAGACAGCAACTGAAATAATTTTCTGGCTGTTTTCGCAGCCAAATGCTAGTAAATAGTGTTTATGAGATTAAGCACTACATTGAAAACTGAGAATGTAACTTTCAAAGTCACTAAGTAAATAAAGAAGTCACAAATAATCTGGTAAAAATAACTTTGCTACATTCCCTCAGAATCTTCACATAGATTAAACAAATTATCCATGGTGTATGTGGGTGGGAGGCAGGGTCCTGAGTGCCGCAGCCATGTGAAGCCACTGGACAGCTAAAGGGATCTGCTCTCTTCCACCATCGTGTGGGTCCTGGGAATGGGACTCAGGACATCAAGCTTGGCAGAAAATATCTTTACCACCAACCTTCAAAATTTCGTTAACAGAAAATGGGGAAGAGGACCTACTTTCTATGCTAAACATTTAGGTAAAATGGTCCCTATGCTTTTTTTTTTTTTTTTTTTTTTAGAAAAAATTAAGACAACTTTATTATTTAAAAAATCTCATTTTTGATCACCATTCATTTCTGGAAAAAAAAATAGGCTAAGCCACCTGCATTTGGTGAAGAGAAAAAAAAACAACAAAACTTAATAGTAAAAAGGTTCCGTCCATGGTTGAAGCAAACACAAGTTTCAACTCACCGTCATCTTCCCCTAGAGGAGAAAAGAGAAAGGGCATTACAAAGTGCCTTACCCTGCCCAGATTCCAGTCCCACTAATGTTAACACACAGCTTATCCTCCCTGCTAAACTTTTCACCGGACCATGAACTCTGATCACTATTGCAGGCATCCTGCAAATATGAGCTTTGTCTGCAGGCCAAAGAGTGCAAGATTCCCACATCCTATAAAACAAACAGGAGGAGGGAGGAGGGGGACAGGAAGAAACTGAGAAGGGAGAAGGAGCTGGGCCTGGTGACACTGCAGAATCCTGGACACTGGGAGGCTGAGGCAGGGCCGCACCACTGAGGTCAAGGCCTGGGCTCTAAGGAGAACTCTAGGCTGGGGTGGTGGCTCAGTGAAACTCTGGGAGCAGGGGATGTCCCTGTGATAAAGTGTGAGTGTGCAAGAAGCCCTGGTTTCCATCTCCAGCACATTAAAAGATCAGGAAGCAACAGAAGTGGGCAGAGGCCACTAGGCTCAGTGCTTATCAAAAACACAAACATCCTTCAGTCCCACTCCCCTCCCCCACCTCTGTGGACAGGACAGTTTCCATGCTTGGGACTTATCTAGATGATTACTCTTTTGCTCAGACAGGGTCAACGACACTTTCCTGCAGAGGAAAAGACCCCAAAGCTGACTGGCTCCATATTGCTCACCTTTGTGCAGTTGCCTGACAGACTCTGATAGAACAGTTTATTTTTCAGAAAAAGGTTCTGTTGCTCAAAGACTTTTGGAAAAAATAGTTATAGAAGCCTAGAGCTGCCAGGCGGTGGTGGCGGCGCATGCACGCCTTTAATCCCAGCACCTGGGAGGCAGAGGCAGGCGGATCTCTGTGAGTTCAAGGCCAGCCTGGTCTACAAGAGCTAGTTCCAGGCCCCAAAGCTACAGAGAAACTCTATCTCGAAAAACCATTAAAAAAAAAAAGAAAGAAAGAAAAGAAAAAGAAATAAGAAGACTAGAGCTGGCGCTGCTTCAGGAATAGTGGAAGAAATGGCTGAGCAGGCAGAGCCCTCTACCACCATGTCAGTAGAGAACCCTTCAAGCCCCCGTCAGCCAGAGCTGCACGCTTCCTTTCGCAGCCCCTAAGAGCTGCTTCCACACTCACTGCTTCCGATTGTCTTTAATGGTCTCCCATTTTTTCTTTTCCTCCTTCCCTATTCGCATTGTTGATTTTTTTACTCTCATCTTTGTAGCGGTTTCTAGTCTAGTTTATGGTAAATGGTAAGTGTTTCTTTGGATTTGACATCTTTTGTTAAACAAACGATTGTATTTTCTACTTTGAAACAAAGTCACCACAGGAAAGGTCTGAAGAAATGCCTTCCTTTTAACAGGTAACAAAAGAGGGATGGCCTTTTGTCCTTTATACAGCTTCCATAGTGTCAATTTTAAAAACATTTTGTGTAATTAAGACATTGAAGTTGAAAACATTAAAGTTATGATGTAAAAACAGCAAGAGATAAAAAAAATAAGTCATGGCCACTCTGCTCATAGTCCCAGCTTTTGGAGAAGAGCATTTGCCTTGACAGTCAGCATCTAAGACCAGTGCCTATGTCAACCACCCCACATCTGTTCAGGTCTCAGGCCGAAGGTATAAACCTACTTAGGCATTTCAACTTTTTAACTCAGTCCTGGCCTAGACTCTGGACTAGTAGGTCAGCTACAGGGTCAATCCCAGGGATTAGCTGCACCTAGATAAGAGGATGAAAATGCACTGACCACAGCACGCCACACCATTTGAACAGCACATTAGCTATACATACATGTACCTTAAATAGCCATGTTTTTACAGTAGGTTTGTCTGGTACAACAACCTTAGTAGCATGTGCTGTGAACTACGCTCTGCTCAAACATGGAGGTTGGGGAGGGGTCACCACAACATGAGGAACTAAATTAAAGGGTTGCAGCATTAGAAAGTTTAAGAACCACTGAACTAGAGTGTTTAAAAATGGAGACAGGGGCCAGGCGGTGGTGGCGCATGCCTTTAATCCCAGCACTCAGGAGGCAGAAGCAAGTGGATCTCTGTGAGTTTGAGGCCAGCCTGGTCTACAAGAGCTAGTTCCAGGACGGGTTCCAAAGCTACACAGAGAAGCCTGGTCTTTGGTGTGGGAGAATTGTCTGTATTCTGTCAATCATGTTTTAAATAAACGCTGATTGGCCAGGCAGGAGGTGTAGGCTGGGAAACCAGACAGGAAGTGGAAATGATGCAAGGAGAGCAGGAGAATTCTGGGAAGGAGGAAGCTGATTCTCCTACTCCTGCCCAGATCACCGAAGTGGCAGGATGTGAGCTGCCCCACTGAAAAAGGTACTGAGCCACATGGCTAAAACAGATTAGAAAAATGGGTTAATCAAGATGAGAGCGTTAGCTAATAAGATTGACCTAACAGGCCAATCAGCATTATAACTTATAGAGATCTCTTGTGTGGTTGATTTTCTCTGGGGCCTGCCGGTTGTGGGGTACCAGGCGGGGACAGAAAACATAAACAAGCAGGCCCGGTCCCCTCATGTTACAGGTCTTAAAAAATCAAAAATAAAATAAAAATAAAATGGGGGACAGGGGACAAGGCCCTCATTCTCTCTCTTCTTAATTTACTCTTGTGGGGCAGGACCTGGGCCTCCAAAGTTTGAATTTCTCAGGAAATCTGAGGTTCATATAGATTCCTCACATCTTCTAATCCATCCTACACCAGGCTCCTAGTTTAGGACCAGAAGACATCTAGCCTATTAACTCATGTTTGTCTTAATCACTAAAATTAAACAAAATATAAAATTGCTGGTTTACTTTTTTTCAACTTGAAAAAGCATGAAATGTATGGAAAACCTACCTCGGCTGGGTGCCAGAGGATTTAAAGGACGATACACAGACCGAGGCCTGGAAAAGAGGACAAAGCTCAGCTGTAAAACGGTTTGGCTTGTTACACATCACATTTCCCACAGAAACAGACATCTGCTTCCCCCTCTCCGGCCCTCTGTTACTTGAAGCAGTTTTCTTCGTAGATGCTGTTCCACACCCTCCATGCCGAGGAGCCCTTGTAGCCAGTGTACCGCTCTGGGTTCAGCAGCAGGTCCACGTACTGCGCAGCAGGGGAGCGCTCATCTGCCAGGAACAGCAGGAAGACCACTCAGTGTCACTACTCACCTACAACGACACTTCCAGCTCACACTGCTGGGCGGTTAACCCCTGTGACTGCACTTGACCCTGAATTTGTAGAACTGGGACAAGTTACTCAAGAGAGGAAAGAACAACTTCTTCCTTTCTTTGGCTTCTCAAAGGTCACTCAAGTAATGCGACATTCTCTACCTTAGTTATAACCACACAGGAATAAATGGAAACAGCATCAGATTTAGGTAATTATAGAAAGAAAAGAAATCACATATCTCAACAAAGACTAGGAAACATTTTGTTACATCTTCTATCACAAAGATTTTTCCATTATTCTCTATAGAATGAATGATCTGGTCATTAAACTTCCTCTTCCTTTCCTACCTGACAGTGTATTTTTCTGTCACTGAACAAGATCTATTAGCTATTCAATGACTACCATCCCCATAATCACAGGTGAAGCTGGCAACCTGACCCAGCCCCTTCGAGGGCTACTTGCTATCATGATGGAGGAGGAATAGAAAGGTAACAACAAATTGTTACTATTAAATGAAATGAATAAAACAGGTAATGGAAACATGATTTTACAGAATGCAAGATTTTTATCTCTAATCCTAATACCAAAGATATTGCACTACACAAATTCAGGCACAGGAAACAAGTTACAATTAGATATAAAAAACTCACAAGCAATTTAACTTGAATTGATATTAATTTTAAAAATCCTAATAAAAAATAAAACCTCAAGTCATGAGGTCTTAAAAGGTATTTCTTTTTTAGGTCTAAGAATGCAGGAAGTAGCTAATTGGTACAGGAACTGATGAAGTTATAGTTTTTAAACACCTGCAAAACAAACACAAACCTTAAGAGGTAAAAAGTATGTTTTTTTTTCTTTTTTGTAATTAAGTAAGAATTGTTAAAATTTATTCTTTAATTTCTGTTTTTTCCAAGAGGACAACAAAAGACAAGTTTACTGGGTACACTTCAAGGGAGCAGGGCCAGGGCAGGAACAGAACAGCCTGCCTCACTTATTTCTAACTCCTGTATCTTTTATTTCTAAATCTTTATATATGGGTATTTTGCCTGCATGTATGTTTGTGCACCACACATGTGCAGCTCCCACAAAAGCCAAAAAGGCGTGTCAGATACCCTGTGGCAAAAGCTATAGACAGTTGTGAGCTGCCACGTGGGTGCTGGGAATTGGAACCTCAGGAAGAGCAGCCAGTGCTCTTAACTGCTAAACCATGTCTCCAGCCCCAGTTATGTATTATTAATTTCTTTTAGCAGTTTTTAAACTCATTTGTAAAACAGATTAGTTACATATAAAACTACTTGAATACCAATGAAAGTCATTACTGAATTCTCTGATATAAACATGTGTGCACACATACACACACATGCATACTTTGAGTGTATACATGTGAAACTAAACATGTTCAGGGTATGCTATGAATGTGTGGGTGATACTAACACCAATCTCCTCACCACAGAAAACTCACTCAACTATAAAGGAAGAAGATTCTGACAGCAAACCATGACAATTTACAGTATATTTTAGTGGGTCAGCAACGTAGCTCAGTGAATGCATACTTGTCTAGCATGTGTAAAGTCCACAGATGTGTTTATGCATGCATGTGCATACACATACATACACACACACATATCTAATAAAGTGTTTTAAGGAAACTTAAAAAGGTATATAATCAAATTACATCAGTTAAAAAAACTCCTTAAATAAAACTTTTGTTCTTGGTTTTCCTTCATTTTAAAAATCTTTTAATACTTTTTAAAATCATGGAATGGGTAGTATTGGTTAACTTATGCTAATAAGGGGGTTGATAAGCTACCCAATGGCTATCTTTTCTGTTTGACCATGCTAACCATGTAGACACCAGAGGGTAACCTCGGCTGCGTGTTCTGCCTCTACCTTGACATGAGGTCTCTTACTGTTCACCATGCCCTACCTCATGTGAGTGCTGAAGATTCAAACTCAGATCCTAGGACTAAGTTCTATATGGCTAAATCCTGGAGCCATCTCTCTAACCCTGAGTAGAATTTTATGAAATGCCTCCTTTTAGTGTAATATACATTCACAGAATATGATAATCTCTAAAATAATCATGTTTAATCCTTTCATATAAAAAATGATTACAGTGGGTTTTGTTTTGTTGGCTCATCTTTTTAAGATGAGTGTTTAACACAGCCAGGCTAGACTTGACTTCTATGCAGTCAAGAACGACTCTGAATTTCTGATCCTCCCTCCTCCAAATCTCAAGTACAAGGATCACAGGCATGAGTTGAGGCATAAGAAATGCCTTGGGTGTTAAGCACTCAGCATACCTGAGTGTCAACCAGAGCAAACAAAAGAACAGCAACAACGACTTGAGGTACTTCCACTCACAGAGAGGGGAGGGCAGCCGCAGAAGTTCCACCCGTCACAATGAGGACGCTGCACTGCTTCTGTATGTGAACATCTAGATAATTGCAACACTTTTGCCTCAGTCCTCATCTTGATTCTGCTACAGCACGAGTCCTCCTCGTGGGAGGATCTGGGTCACTGGGGTGGGTTCTGAAGTTTCAGGAGACTCCAGCCATTCCTGGTATTCCCTCTCCCTGCCTTGTGCTTGAGATCAAGATGGAAGCTCTCAGCTATTCCTGCCACCATGCCCTCACTCTAGCACCGCGCCCTCACTCTAGCACCGCGCCCTCACTCTAGCCCTCTGAAACGGTTAAGTCCAATTAAATGCTTTTTAAAAATATTATCTTGTATTCGTTGAGGTTTTTTTTTTTTTTAATTTTAAACCACAGCAATAGAAACCTAAGACAGTCTAAGAATCCTCTTCAATCATTACAAAGCAGTATGACCACCTTAGGTCCCTAAAGGACTTAGGAAGTTTCTGTTGTCCATTTCCATCTCTGTAGGTTGAGCTTCATATTCTTTCCTACTTCCCACAAGTTAACATTGCACTAAAAATGCAAGAGAGGCCAAATGAACGACTTGAATGCACAGCACAGTGGTAATATTCTCAGGCAATTTTGTGTTACTGTAATTTTCTTTTGCTAAGAGAGGCAGCAGGTACTTGTTTGACCGATTCTGCCCCTGTGCCCTTCTGAGGGATGCTTGGAAAGAGAGGGCTACGAGGAAGCCAAGTCAGAGTCCTTCTAGTACTGCAGGAATCGTTGTGGTTTATTGAGACCTCCACCAAATTTTTATGGCCTGTTCACAGAACCAAGTGATCTGATGTGAAGGCCCATGGGATATGGCATGCTGGAATGTTCATACAGGTTTGGGACTCAGATCTAGGACTGAACCATGTCTCAGCCACTTGCTAGTAAATGATCTTGGGCAATTTATTTGCTTTTTGAGGCTAAAGCTTCTCATCCATGGAACAGTATACATCTACTAAGGAAGCTATAAAGATCAGAAAGAAATAACATATCTATAGCACTTAGCACTGGGCCTCAAACATAATTCTCAATTAATGCCACTATCAATGGTGAGGCCTCCACAGGGAGAAATCAGTGTTAAACACTAATTTAGGTCATATTTTCAACAGTTTAAGTGTCTCAAAAAAGGCTTCAGATTAAAGTGAAGATGAAACTTATTTTATTACCATCAAGTTCACAAAAGTGATCCTGTGAGTCGTCATATCTCGCCCAGTCAATGAATGCTTCTTTGCTTTCATTACTACGGGAAGGAGGAATAAAAATATTATATTTGAAGCTGAAATGTTAACATTGTATTCTAATGAACAAAAACAGAGACCATTTCTTCAGAAGATGCCACAAAGTCTAGCAATAGTAAATGAAGGAATGATAAAAAAGTCATGTGAAAAATAGAGCTATCAATCTCGATGAGTTGTTTATACTTCCTAACTACTTTAAAATTATTATTAACCCTTGTTAGCACTCAAGGTCACCACTACAACTGATATACAAACTGCAGTAATGTCATTTTTTTCTAAAGTAGAGATTCAGCTTATTTTCTGAATTCTTTAAATTCAAGTTGCTTCTATATTCATAAAATCCCCAAATAATAAAATCATGACTTGGGCTGTGGTGATGCACATCTTTAATCCCAGCACTTGGGAGGCAGAGGCAGACAGATCTCTAAGTTTGAGACCAGTTTGTTCTACAAAGTGAGTTACAGCACAGCCAGAGCTACACAGGGAAACCATGCCTTGGGGAAAAAAGTCACTGATATTAACAAACTAAGTACAACTAAACTTGCCTTAATGTACTATTGATGGCGCCCAGCTTGTTGGCCTGCTCACAGTCTTCCAGTTCTTTGGTATTGTTTGCCGCCTGTGAATACTACAAGAGAATTCATACAAAGTTAAGTGAAAGTGATTAGCTCTTCTTCAGCAGACAATCTATTAATGGTGACATGTTCTATCATGAAAATCCTTACTGAGGATTTTTACAAGGCCTGAATCTGTACCTATTAAGTGAGCAAAGGCAGAAAAAACCACAATAGTTAGCATGTGTGTGCTGGTGATGATGTCATCTGGGAAAGAAACTGGATATAAAAAATACGTATCTAGAGTTTTACAGACACGTAAGTCCTTAGAACGGAGTCTTCAACTTAGACCATATCCCAAGGAAACATTTTTTATACTATAATCATCTTAGCGTTTTTATCATTTTAAAATGCTGAGATACACAGACCTTATTGTCCAGCATCCCACTTCAATACACAGGACTAGGGAGACTATCATGTGCTCACAATGAAGTTGGGGGCAAAAATGCCAGTGCTTCACTGCAACAGGAAAGAACCAGAATGACTGAAATGTCCATGTGCAGGGAAGCTACTGTTGGTCACACAAATGATCAGCACACTGCTTGAGGGTGAATGCACAAGATCCAGTGTGTCAACAGAGAGAGGTTTAGGAGCAAAAACAATGAGTCAAAATGTAAACTGAAAAGTATTTCCAACTTAAAGAAATTTATTACTAAAAATTTTAACTTTCCATAAAATATGTGTATTACTGTACTGCAGGCACGTGCTCTGAAAGTGTGTTACTTATAGACAGACACATATGTAGTAAGAGAACCACATCCGTAACTTCAGGAAATGGATGGCTCTGGGGAGGAGGAAGTAAATGGGATTAGAATGGTGTTAGGGGCAGGGGTGGGTTAGACTACCTTGATATGCTTTGTTTAGCATAGCTTTGTAGCCAAAGTAAAGATGAGCAAGTGAACAACAACAATGCATAGAAGAGATGGCTAGAACAAGGGGACAGCACACAGTGGAAGATCTTCATCGTGCGTGTGTGTGCAGTAGTGGAAAACAAGAGTTAACTTCCAGCTAACAACACAGCTTACTCACTGTAGCACCAATTCTAATTGGCCTTAATAACAAAAACCCAGAGTCAGATATTAGGGGGTGAAGGCTGTATATCAGAGAAGCAGAGCAGCCAGCCACCAGTTCTTACCTCTACAAAATCACCAGACAGAATGAGGTATCCTGTCTCTACAAGTCCTCAGACTGAATGCTGTCTCTACGAAACCTCCTGTCTCCTCCTGCCTTATATTCCTTTCTCCACCCAGCCATATCACTTCCCATCTCCACCTCCCTTCCCTAGTGCTGGGATTAAAGGTGTAACGCTTGGCTCTTTGTCTCTTTTAGACTGATTCAATCTCATGTAATCCAGGGTAGCTTTGAACTCACAGAGATCCGTCTGACTCTGTCTCCAGAGAGCTGGGATTGAACGTGTGTGCCACCACTGCCTGGCCTCTATGGCTAACTAGTTTGGCTAGCTCTGCACTCTGATATTCAGGCAAACTTTATTTGTTAAAGCACAAATAAAATATCACAATTCATTTTTAAAAAGCACAAAGAATACCTTAACACCATTTCCAAGTACTTAGCTCAAAATATCTTGGCAATAATTTTCTTTATACAATGTAATCTGAATCTAACAGAGACACTAACTGAAACAGAAGACCGAAAATAGCTACCAGTATTTTTGCTGCAGTTACAATTTAGAGTTTTTCTATCTAGAGATTCTGCAAACAGATGTAATTTCAAAAGAAGCTAGGCATGCATGGCCCCAGCGTTTGATTCAAGAGTTAACAATTTGAATTCTGAGGCCAAGTGACTCCATTCTCAGCTAAATTCATGGCTCTCTACTGCCCCCAATATCCAGAAATTTTCAAGGAAGAAAAGTAACTTACCTTATTTGAACGCCCAGCTTTAATTCCAACTGGAATTTTACTCTTAAAAGAAAAATAGTACCATTACTTAGAAGACAATCAGAAGGGATGGTTGCTATCGAGGGAAAGAAGGGGAACACAAAGAAACTTATCTACTTTGCATCCTATGTTTGACTTCTCTATTTTAAAAAAATATATTTTATGTGTTTGAGAGTTTTGCAGCGTATATGCATGAACACCATGTGCATGCCTACTGTCCATGGCAGTCATAGAGGGCAGGCACTGGATCCCCTGGAACTGTGGTTATGGATAGCTCTGAGCTACCATGTGAGTACTGTGTGAGTAGTGGTAACTAAAGCCAGGACCTGTGTAAGAGCAGCAAATGCTCTTAATCCCCGAAACATCTCTCCAGCCTCTGTTGTGAGTTTTTCAATAAAAAAGTCTTTATTTCTGATTAGAAATGTAACACAGAAGAGGTTATAATACACTACAGATGGAAAGTACCCATTTGAACTTACAAATTAAACACTCAACTTAGAAACCTATTATGAACCAGCCAGCACTGTGGTTCATACTTGTGATCCCAAAACTCAGTAAATTGAGGAAGACTGCCACGAATTCAAGGCCAGTCTAGGCCATAGGGCAAGAATCTAACTCCAAAAATTCAAATGCACACACAGTTACAGACAGACAGACAGACATAAATACAGAGTATCAAAGTCAAATTAGTCAGGTCTAGCTATATGACACAGGCTGAGGCAGAAACATATCAACTCCCAGGCCAACTTGGGCTATATAGTGAGACCCTAACTCAAACAAAAACAAAGCCAAATAATGCAGGCCTGGGTGTGTAGCTCTGTGGCAATGTGCTTGTTTAGCCCGTACAGGCCCTGGGTTCTGATCCCAGTACTAGCACCAAATGAAACAAAACAAAACAACCTGGCTCCTGTTGCAGAAAACTCAGGACCTTCAGATTATGAGACCGATACGCTGCCTACTGCACTAGGGAGGCGCGCTCCTGTTCTGGAGAAAATGAAACTGAAGACCCGGGACAACAAAATGCAATACTTAAATCTGACTGGATGGACAAGCTACAAAGCGCAAGCATGCAGTCAGCTAATGATATGTGACTAATGTCTACCAAAATGAGGCCTCAGAATGGTATTAAGATTAATATCCCGATTTAGTTAATTTTGCTAATGTTATATACAAAAAAGTCTTGCTTCTAAGGAAGACAGCAGTATTTAGAGCATTCAAACATAAAGGACCAGTCTGCAACATGCTCAGACAGTTCAGAGAGTACAGCAAACAAAGGCCATGTGCATCCAGGGGTTCTGGATAACACGTCCATGGGATGCAGGACCATTCTTAGATCTTTCCTGCACGTCTAAGATCACGTTCCATAAATATCTTATTGGAAAAGAAAGACAATTTTGCAAGAATCTTCCATTTAGGATGACAGCGGTCCATATACTCTTTTAAAAAACTATTTTCAATGCCCACAAACTAGCCTGATTTGGTAAGAAAAGAACTGAAAATTTAAATCATAGCTTAAAACTAACTGTTATTGAGGGAGAATCATTTTAAGTTAATTATGTTATATGTCAAAACTGAAGTATCAGAACTGGGGGTATATCTCAGTGGTACCTGCCTAGTATGTGTGAGAATGTAGGTTCGTGTGTGTGTGTGTGTGTGTGTGTGTGTGTGTGTGTGTGTGTGTATGTGTATGTCTCAGACAATCCCCATCCCCCAGATCCCTAAAATGTAACATTATCTTGGTAGGAAACATTTTTATGTTTTATTTATATGGCAGTAAACCTATTTTTAAAGGTTAAAAAAAAGCAATGAAACTCTTCTCTAGGCTGGACTTTCTCATTTCATGCACCAAAATCCCCTTTTTAAATGTGACGTTTAAGGTCCTGAACTTCTCTTTTTGCCTATGAAACAAAATCAATGAAGCCCGCTGCAGGTCTAACGCTAGAATAATCCTCAGGTCTCCCTCCCATTTTAGAATCAAGACTTACGTCCACACCCCATCACCAACACCACTGGACACAAGAATCCCTCAACTCATCTTTCAAGGAGTCTAGTTATACGAGCTGAAAGCTTATGAAGTCTGCCGATACGTCCAAACACAAGGATACAGGGGTTGTGATTTTTTAAAGCCCAAGAAGAAGTCCCCCTCCATTACTGTACTCTTAATTACTGTACCTCTGGACAGGGCTCCACATGACAATCTTTTATTGAGCAGTGGCCATCTTCTGCCCAGAAAGGACATGGTCGCTTCAGATTAACCTTTTGAGGAAAAACAAATCAACATTAGCAATTGGGTATGATAATTACAGAATGTTTGTCAATGTCCCTATGTTGGGCATGGTGACACGGTAGTGATGAGGAGAGGAACTTCTTGACCCTGTGGCGCATACACAGTTCACGTATTAAATGACTGCAGCTTTGCAGGCACCTGGGTGGCATGTTAACTTTTAAAACAAAATGACTATGGGTTCTCTGACACTGGAACGGAGGAGCAGTTTGAGTCCACTGCTCATCTGAAGCACAGTTGCCATTGGGCAGCATTTTAGAATGACCTTAACATTCCCCAAATACCTTAGCATCAGGGCTCCCACACCCCCTTAGTCAGTGTGTACTGAGCACTGGCTATTTGTCAGACACCAGGTTAGGCTCAAGGCAAAAGAGAGTTTTCCCTCCCTAGGACTTATAATATCCTGAAGAAAAATCAAGTAATTGCCCATTGTAGTAATGTTTCAAAGGAGAACCCAGAGTTCTGTAGTAGTGCTGCTGATGGATGGAGCCTCTGAAGCAGTCATACTTTAGGAAGATGAAAGGTGGTGGGCATGTGTATTTGGCTACAGCAGTGGAGAGCTTTGTGGTGCTAAGAATGAAGAATCACCAGTTCCACAATTTTTAGTGGGTAAAGAATGGACCAAAAGGACGGAGGTCAAAAAGTAAATACTGATTTCCAAACTCTTCATACAACAGGAAGCTGGTAATCCAATAGGACTTGCAGATGTATTGCCCAAGCTAAAAATGAACGTTTTCTGTTTCTTCACTTACTTGTTACTACTTTTTACCACCTCCACCACCTTCACTTGTCTCTTGCCTAAGCTACTGCAATAGTTTTCCACCTTCTGCCATTACCTACTGCACACAGCAACAGTTACATCAAAACCAAGGCAGACCCTACCAATGTCTGCTCAGAACTTTTCCTGGGCATTTTCATCTCCCTTGGAGCAAATCCAAGCTAGCAGCAGCTCTACAGGCACCATTCTGTTACCACTGGCATCTGCCTCTCCTTCCCTCATCTATTACACTACATTTCTGCTTGACATGCTGGGTTCCTCAAGTCCCAACGTCTCTATAGTGCCCATTCTCTATCTGCTTTGCTCCTACAAAGGGCGTTTTCTCCACCTTACTCAGGTCTCTCAACAGCAGCAGGCCTTGCCTAGACTCCCTAAAGTAGTACTTAGAATACAACCACCCCCAATATATTGCTGTATGCTTTCTGTGTGTTTGTATATGCATTTGTGTATGTGCCATGTGTACCTGTTCATGTTTTTAAAGCTGACCTACCTACCTCTCCAATCCTACTCCTCATTCACCTGCTTCTGCTTCTTAGAAGAAGGTCTAAGTCTTCTTCTAATTCTTCAAATAAGCTAAGCTCACTTCTGTGTCAAAACTCTTACATTTATTCATCAATTTCAATGGAATGTTTTCTGCAGATCTCACAACTACTCACACTTTCACATTAGGAAAGTCTTTGCTCAAATATCACATTAGCATAAACACCATCCTTTCCTGACCATTTCATCAAAGCAGGACTACTTTTCTTTATATCCCTTACTCTGCCCCATTCATACAGTCCCCTGCTTCTTCTCCACAGCACTCACCTTACATCTGACATTACTGTCTATTTACTTATTGTTTGTCTCTCCAAGCAGAACAAAGCTTTGTCCTATTTACTGCTGTATGCACAGCACTAAGACTAGAGGCTGTCTGTCACAAAGTCACCAATATGACAATTGCCTGGCTGCAAAGGTGAGCAGCTGCATCTACCTTCAGCTCCTTGTTGGCTGAATCCCAAGTCTGCACGTGAGTTTGAAATCAACTCTGTTATTTTTGCCTACTTAAATTTCATGTTTCCTTCTTCTGTAGCAGTCTTCTAATTCCCTTGACAAACAATCATTCCTCATGTTCCTCTGAATGGCATTGTTACCAAAAGTATACTTCCTTCTTTTGGTAAAGGTATCACATGATAACCTGGACCAATCATTTTCTCCTACAGAAATTTGACTCTTGTATAAAGAACAAAAAATATGGGAAAATAGATAATTTGGCCTGGAAGTTTGGTAAAGGGCTGATGATACAGCTCAGTGGAACAGTGTTTACCTAAATGTCTAGTGGGCCAGAACCCTAGAGTCACCACCACAGTTTTGGTGGTGTGCTAAAGATAATGCCACTAGAGTCTGCTCCACTTCCATCTTTCCTGAAGTGCACTACTTCAGTTTGTCTTTCAATTTGTAAACTACTTAGTTACTTTCTCTCTCAAACTTCTGTTTTTTGAGTCAACACAAGTACCCTACCTTAGGATACTCAGGCCTACTATTTCTTCAATTTAAAAATGTGGATAATAAAATTTTCTATGAAGAGTAAATGAGATAGCCATTCATCCAATATTCAATACTTCAATGGGCCAGGCTTTGTATGGATACAAAACTAGAAGATGCGATCCCCAAAGGGAGGTGTGAGTGAGGCTGCGACATCCAAACGTAGGCTGTCTCTGACAGCACCCACAGTTTCTACTAATTAGACGGAACCATATGAAACCAGCATGTTTAACCATTTCATATGATTTTTCTAATATTATGAAGGAAACAGCTACACATACAGTCAGGGATTTCATGTTCAGAAAGCACCTGTCTTACTTGTATGAAAAATGCCTAAAAATCAGCCACAGTGTAGGTATAGATTCACCAACTACACTCCTAACAGAGTTTGTACAAAGGAGAAACATTCACTCCTTTCTGGATATTCTTGGTATTTGTGGGCAAAGGAATGGGTTTCCAAATCTGTAATTTTCTAATTTATTTTTTGAACAACCTACAACTGCCAAAAGACTACATTTTTTTATCCTCAAAAATATTTAAAGAGCTAAGATAATCTATTCAGAATCAAGATTAAAAAGGAAACCATGTTTAAATTTTAGAACAAATTAAAATGAAAATTATATACCAACTAAATCCTGAGAGCAAGAACAAGACCATAGTAAAGTCAAGCATAGCTTTAAAATGTAGTTGTAGCTGGGTGGTGGTAGTGCACGCCTTTTCTTTTCTCTTTTTTTTAGAAAAATCCTTTACAGTTCAAGTCTTTTATTTCTTTTTGTACATCAGGCCATGAATTCGTACGTAACGGGTTCCAGCAGCTCAGGCTCCTTCCCGTTAGTTCTCACAAAGTGTGCTTCTTTGGGTAGAGCAGGCTGGCGCTTCAGCTGAACCCAGGTGCCCTTCTCTTTGACATCCTTTCTCTTCTGGTCGTTCTCCTTCACCCGCTACAGGAAGTTGTCTCTGCTCTTCAAATGCTTGATGTGTTCAATCCGCACATTAATTCTCTTGGCAAGAATCTTGCCCTTGCTTGTTTATAGTGATGCCCACAGCATGCTGGTGACACTGTAGACTCTTCTGGTTTTGTCATGGTAACATTTATGGGACATTCCTTTTTGAACAGTGCCCATTCCCTTGATGTCTACAACATTACCCTTCTTGTAGATTCGCATGTACGTGGCCAAAGGAACAACTCCATGTTTCCTAAAGGGCCTGGAGAACATATAGCGAGTCCCCCTCCTCTTTCCCTTTGTGTTTGTCATTTTGGCGAGTTACTGAAAGATGGCTACCGTCGGTTGTGCATGCCTTTAATCCTAGCACTTGGGAGACAGAGGCAGGCAGATCTCTGTGAGTTTGAGGCCAGCCTGGTCTACAGAGCGAGTGCCAGAAATATGTATTTGTCAAGTAGATTCTGTGAGCGCACCCAGAGGACAGGGACTGGAGGAACAGGGGAGTGATATGGTCAAAAGACATGCTGTACTTGAACCAAAAGGCCATCAAGAAGCCCACTGTTTTGTACAATGAATATATACTAATAATTTTTTTTTAATTCCCTAGACTACACCCTTGGTATTTTCTCCTTAAAAATGTATAACTACAATTGTTTCTTTGAGTTCTCATTGCTGACATAGTTACAAGACTGCTATTGCTTTTCTGGTATTTCCACAAGGGCTAGAGACTCATACTAGGTTAAAAACAGATTCTATAGAAATACTATGAGGGTGTATTCTACTTGTAACATCACTTGGTTTGCAGCCTCGACAAAGCATGCCAGTGACAGTCTGTTATTCTGCACTGCTTACAACACTCCCCTTAAACACGACGCTCCACTGAAGCCTTGTTGGGGAATATTATTTTCAGGCGTGTGACTTTTGTTTACACTGCATCTGTTTAACTCTGTGAAGCTGTGTTACTGAGCCTGTCTAAAACAGCTGATGGTCCTAATAAAGAGCTGAACGGTCATAGCGAGGTAGTAGCAACAATAGGTGGGGCTGGCAGGCCGAGAGTATAAACAGAGGGAGTGAAGAGCAAGAGAGAACAAGGAGAGGAGGACATTAGGGGCCAGCCACCCAACTACACAGCAGAGAAAGAAGAGAGTATACAGAATTAAGAAAGATAAAAGCCCAGAAGCAAAAAGTAGTCGGGATAATTTAAGTTAAGAAAATCTGGCAAGAAACAAGTCAAGCTAAGGTCAGGCATTCATAACTAAGAATAAGCCTTTGTGTGTAATTTATTTGGGAGCTGGGTGGTGGGCCCCTCCAAAAAAGCCAAAAGAGTAAAAAAAAAAATTCATACAATGAAGCCTGGATAGCTTGGTCCAGATCACAGAACCTATGTTCACAGAGGCTGACAAAGTCCATGTGGGCATTTGAAGCATTTGTAAAGGAGGAGACTTCCATCTTAAAATCAAAATTGAAAGAAAAGTGAAGGGGGTGTGGATTCTTGGTATGTAATAAAACAATTTTTCTACTATGATACTTTTATAAAGCTTCATTTTTAAAAGATTTATTTTGAAAAACATAATAAAACAAGTCACATTTGCAGACAACTATATAGAAATCTTTGGATTAACAGAATTAAAATTTTCTATCTTACCTTGTAATAACGAAAATAGTCTCGTTCTTGTAACTTTTTTAACTTGGGGAAGATTTTGTAGGTGTTGAAGTTATCAATGCTGTCAATGTCACACAAGCAATCATCCAGAACTCCAGTCACCTAGAATGTACATATGTATCAACTACAAGATATACAAATTACTAATGTTTATACCTTAATAAATCTATTATTCTAAAAAATTTATTCATTCAAGTTGACCAGGTTTACTGATTAAAGTTCATAACATTAGGGCCAATGGAAGGGCCTAGAGGGTAAAAGTGCTTGCTGCCAAGTCTGATGACCTAAATTCAGTCTCCCTCCATACGGTGGAAGGTGGGAATGGCCTCTTGAAACTCTCCTCTGATTTCTGTATGCATGCCATGCCACATGTATACTCAGCCCCCAACAATACACGAAATAAATAACTGTAAAAAATACTTTTAAGATTCATAACATTAAAGCAGTCACTTTTTAACTATGACAGTTGAATATAAAAAAAAAACAAAACAACAAAAGCCAAGAAAATTACATATTATCTACTTTGAAATACCTAACTTTTTAGGGCTCAAAACGGAAGATACTTCTCTGCCTTTCCTCTGCCTAAACACCAATAAAAATGTAGCCACTGGATTCCAGACTAACCTAGAAGTCACAGCCTGTAATGCCACTACTCAGACCACCTGCATCTTTCTTTTTGGCTGCCATTTATGTGCTAGGCATGGTGGTAAGAGCTTTAGTGTGCATCTCATTTATTCTTTAAAACTACCCTGCAGATAAGGTATTATGACCCTCATTGCAAGGAATTACGGTTTAACAAGCTTACAATTGTCTATATACCCATGGAACTTAACTCCCAATCTATCAGGCTTTAAAGTCTGTTCTTCCTCACAGAAGAACACATGGATACCACTCAGAGTATCCATGAATCCAAAAAGAGAAACAGGTATATAAGAGGTAAATTCTGAGTCCAAGAAATTCCATAAGACATTCTTCAACTTTAGTAAAAATGATTCTCTATATGTACAGCTTGAATTAATCCCAGGAGAAATCTCTTAAGTAAAAACAGCATTCTTCAAAATTAAATTTTATGGTTCCATGTACAGAATATTCTGAAAAGTGTTAGGAATGGTGGACAGTGTGCTAGTCTCCAGGGCTTAGGGACTGGGTAGGGTATAAGAGTTGGAGTAGGAACAAGACAGTGTGGTAATACAAAGGCAACAGACAGTTGAGATGGCTCAGCAGGTAAAAACCCTCCCCAAAGCCTGATGACCTGAGTTCAGTCCCTGGATCCCATGGTGGAAAAAAGAACCAGGTCCCAAAAGTTGTCATCTGATGACCACATGAGTCCATACCTACATGTGGATTGTGCATGCACGCGCGCACAGACACATACACACAAATGAGGATGGTAGAACAGGATAGATGCTTGAAGTACACATCCACACCCATATATTTCATACATTCATGCACACACACAAGTGTGTGTACACAAACACACATGAAATGATAATGATGAGGGGAGACAGGAACAGCATAGATGACCGAAGTCATCTATGGTGAATGCATGAAACTGCAATGTAATAAAAACGTGAATACATACACACAAATAATGTACACAGAGCCGGGAAAATACAAATCGTTCTATCAAGGCAATGTCCTGTTTCTAACTCTGTAGTCTATCTTTACAAGACCTTTGTGATAACTTGGTAAAGGGAATGTAGCACTTCTCTGTATTATTTCTTACGAATGCTCAACAACTTTCATCTCGGTTTAAGGTTTTAAGTAAAAACCAGAACAGGACTCTGTCTAGGAAAAGTTCTATTCATAGCCAGGCAGTGGGGGTGCACACCTTTAATCCCAGCACTCGGGAGGCAGTGACAGGTGGATCTCTGTGAGTTCGGGGCCAGCCTGGTCTCCAGAGATAGTTCCAGGACAGGTGCCAAAGCTAAACAGAGAAACCCTGTCTCGAAAATAAAAAAAAAGTTCCATTCATAAAGGCTTTGGATGGAAGAAGACACACAAGCAGTGAACAGAAGTAGAAGACCTAGCCAATTCTTTTTCTTTCCCAAAGTAGAAGGGTCTCTTTCAACTCCCTCCCACATGGAGGCAGCAATGCTACCTTTACATAAAGAACAAGGGTTGGCTGTCCAGCATTTCAGCTCTGGAAATTCTGCACTTACCACCCTACTAACTCCAAATTTCACTTTACTTCTAGGTTCTCAAGTGACAGGTGTGTGTGTGTGTGTGTGTGTGTGTGTGTGTGTGTATCTGTTTTCTAAAACACTTTTTTAAGTCAGGTATTGGTGGCTGTCTTAGTAAGGGTTTTGTTGCTGTAAAGAGACACCATGACTAGGGCAATTCTTATAAAGAAAAACATTTAATTGAGGCGGGCTTACAGTGAGTTTCAGGCCAGCCAGGGTTACACAAAAAAATACTGCTCCCCAAAAGAGAAAAAAAAAAAAACCCTTTATGTAGTAACTGTTCTTTCTTAGTAATTTTTTTGTTTGTTTTTTGAAACTGAAAACTTTTAGTTTGTAAACCATCATATTTTAAATGTTTTCAGGGACTGGTAAGATAGCTCGGTCAACAAAATGCCTGCCACATAAGCATAAACGCCTAAATTCAGATCCCCAAGATATCATAATAAGCTAGGGAGACAGAAACCGAGGATCCCTGGGGCTTGCTGGTCAGCCAGTCTAACTGAATTGATGAGCTCCAGCTTCATCAAGACTCTGTCTCAAAAAATACGGTCGAGAAAGATTGACGGCACCTGATGTCAATTTCTAGCCTCCATGCATATGTATGCACACACACGCCATTTTCATTGTGAGGATAAACTGCTGTTAATACATATCTGTAACTTTTAAAGACTACTCAGATAAAACCTATGTCACCAAAATTTTGAAATGTAGATGTGAATATTGCCTGCATCCTTGAAGTTCCTTCTCAATTACATCTACCTAAGAGGTTAAAATCAAGCTTACTGTTGTGGTCTATTTTCTTTGTAATGCATCCATAAATAATTCCCATGTTCATAATATTAGTATCATTTTCTCTCCATTTTTTGCGAGGTGCTGCTTTTGCTAACATTTTTTACTTTGGCATTATCTACAAGAGTGAGTTTTACTTGTAGCTAGCTCGTTCACCTTTCCTGTTGTAAATGCTGTACAGTACGAAGACTAACAGCTTATCTACTCTATTTTGCTCCATGCAGAAGGAAGAATAATAGCCCAGGGTAAGTAAGTCCTGATTCCTAAGATACTAGTTCACAAATATAATCTTTTTGTTGTTGCTTTTATTGTTTTATTTTGTTTTTTGAAACAGGGTTTCTCCGAGTAGCCCTGGTTGCCCTGGAACTAGCTCTTATAGACCAGGCTGGCCTCGAACTTACAGAGATCTGCCTGCCTCTGCCTCCCAAGTGCTGGGATTAAAGGCGTGCGTCACCACCACCCAACTGCTTTTATTATTTTATTTTGTTTTTTGAAACAGGGTTTCTCTGTGTAGCCCTGATTGCCTTGGAACTTGCTCTGTATACCAGGCTGGCCTCGAACTCAAGAGATTCACCTGCTTCTGCCTTCTGAGTGTTGGGATTGAAGGTGTATGCTACCACTACCCAGTTCATAAACTTAATCTTAAAAGGATTAATATTTTATAAAGCAAGAGTCTTTAAAGATGTGGGTTAAAGATGCTTGCCAGGCAAACATGGTTACTTGAGTTGGATTCCTGGAATCCATGTAAAGTTGGAAACAAAGAACCAACTTCTCTGATCTCTACATGCATGCTGTGGCAAGCAAGTACACGCATGTGCATATATAGATACAAAAAGATTAAAAAAGGAAAATTTAAAGATGTGATTAAGATCTTAAGGCATGAAGATTATACTGGATTACTCAAGGGAAACAACAGAGTTAGCAGAATCAGGAGGAGGCAGGGGGAAATGAGAAGAGGATACAGTACTGACATTGAAGATACAGGAAGAAGTCATAAGCCAGAGATAAAGATGCCTTTAGAAGCTTGACAGAAGTACAAACAATTCCCAGCTACAACCCCCAGGACTCCCACTTTGTTGATGTCATAATTTTATCACTGTAAAATTCATTTTCAGATTTTTGGCCTCCAAAACTATAAGATTAAAAAAATTATATTGTTTTTAGTGACTAAATTATAGAGATTTGTTAAAGCAGCAAACAGGAAACAAATGTATTCCATATTAATTATAAATTTGACTAAAGAACGAAGTACACAAATATCTTTGTACATATATCTTGGGATACACGTATAAGAGTTTCTTAAGGTATTACTCTTGGGTGTAAAATTGTTCTAAGTACACGTTCAGCTTTATAGGGGAACAGCAGGCTGACTTCCAGAGTTTTTATATCAAATTAGTATCTCACCACCAATGATCAGGAGCTAATGTTGAGACATGCCCACTTGAATACTTAATATTAATCTATGATTTAAATTTTACCAATCAAGAAACCACACAGAGGTTTGAGGGAGTAGTGGATTTTTGTCCTAATGTACTACGTTCATTGCTTTCTGGTTCTGAAGTTTGAGAGGCTTGTCATCCAAATGTAAATGCTGGCAAATAAAAAAATTAGATATGGTGATCTAGTACTGAGATTTCTTGTCTTCAAACATAAACCTGAAACTCAGATATAGATGGGTTTTTAAAACTAAGCATCTAGGTAAGATAAACAAGATATAAACCCTGAAACTCTAGGGCAGAGTGTTCTAACGATGGACCAGCCCACTACAGATGAAGTCAACCAGGAGCATTAGCAAAAAAAATAAGTACTTAAAAAGAGTTAAGGTTGAGTTGTGAAAAAAAAATCTGCTGATAAGTAAAACCTGAGGTTTCACAACTAATGTATTGGCAATAAAGACACGGTAACCTTGACAAGAGAGAGCAGTTTTAGGGTAGTAGCAGACAAGTTTGACTATAATGAATAAGCTAAATAAAACAGGGAGAATAAAATTAGGCTAAACAGAATGGGAGAAAATGAAACAACTCGAGAATTTTTCCAGCTATAGAATTTAAAAAAGAAGGAAGGGGTAGCTCAATCATTAATGTGCTTGATGAGGACCAGAGTTCAATCTCAAGAACACGAGGTCGTAGGATAACAGTAAGCAGCACCTATTAAAGGAAGGAAAAATTAAAGACCCAGGGAAAAGAAGACATGAAGGGACCCATTGCCTTGAGTGGGAAAGAAGAGATGGCCCCTCATAGAAGAGCACACATGACTCATCTGTGCTTGGAACCAACAGTCACACAGCTGGCAGAGACCAGTTAAGTGGATTATTCTATGGCAAGTTCTCCTTTGTTAGGAATGAAGCTGACAGGGCAGAAGAGCAGATGATGAAGGATTAAGTTGAAAAAAATCTGTAATTTAAATTTCTTCAGCTGGGTGTAATCAGCTATTTAATTCATCCTTTGAGTTTCAAATTTTCTTTTTTTTTTCTTTTTTTTTTTTTTTAAGACAGAGTCTCAGACAGCTCAGGCTAAGAAGGAATCAGCTAGCTACCTAACTGATACTAACCTTGAGCCTGCTTCCTACCTCTTGAGAGAGATTATAGGTACATGCCACTACATTTGACTTAAATTTTACTTTGAAAACTTCAATTTCATTATTTTTGATATTCTGGTCATTCTTTTAGATCTGTTTTTTCATATTTCTATGTGTTTTTTATTTAAATACATTAAAACTGATAGTACGTTACTTGACTAAAAATTTCAGAACTTAAAGTCATTTACTGTCTCTGGTGTTTCTACTATAGATACTCCTCAACTTCCTATGAGAAATCTTCCCTAATAAGCCCACTAAAACAAAAACATCAAATGGAAACTCAGTTAAGACACACAACCTGCCATACATCACGGTGTGGGAGAATTGTCTGTAGTCTGTCAATCATGTTTTAAATAAATGCTGATTGGCCAGGCAGGAAGTATAGGTGGGTCAACCAGACAGGAAGTAGAGGTGGGGTGATGAGAACAGGAGTATTCTGGGAAGAAGAAAGCTCTCTTGCAGTTCTGCCCAGATCACTGAAGAAGCAAGATGTGAGCTGCCCCGCTGAGAAAGGTATCGAGCCATGTGGCTAACATAGATAAGAATAATGGGTTAATATAAGCTATAAGAGCTAATAAGTAGTCTGAGCTAATAGACCAATCAGTTTTATAACTTATGGAGATCTCTGTGTGATTTTCTCTGGGACTAAACGGCTGGGGGACTGGGTGGGACAGAAACCCCAATGAGCCCAGCCCTTTGTGTTACAACATCATAGCTCAGAAACACAGGACACAATTTGGGGTGTACAAGTCGTTTGCCCTTGTGTTGGCATAGCTGATAGAGAACTTTGGCTCTCTGTCCGTGCCCAGCACTGAAAGTACGTAGCTAGTCAGAGAAAAAAAAACAAAAATCAAAATATGAAGTTGTTTCTACCAAGAAGATATTGCTTTCTAACGTTTGTAAAGCTAAAAAAAATATTGTAAATCCAAGCATCATAATGTAGAGGCTATCTGTATCTGATTCACAGTGCCCTCTTGCCTTGTGGTTTTGGTGATAACATTTTGGCCCACATTCTACTGAACACTATCTCTGAAGAAATCTTAAGACCCTGAGTTAAAAATATACTTCTCTAGGAGGAATAGATATTTGCTTTTTCTGGTAACCTGGGGGACATGAACCTGGGTTTGCTGTGCATTCAACTTCTAACCAAAGCTTATCCTAGCACACACAAGTGGTACAACCTTTGCCTGAAAAGGCCTGTGAGGGTTGCTCACAGATTCTCAACTGAGTTTTCATCCCTTTCTCCTAGCAAGTTCTTTTATTTTCCCCTTTACTCATTCACATGTACACTAAGGATGCAGCTCTTAGGGCCCAGGATTTGTGTGTATGTGTGTGTGTGTGTGTGGGGGGTGTGTCTAATCATTCTCCCAGCTTAGGGAAGACACTGCTGTTATTTCTTACCAATTCTACCCCCACGAAGATGTGAAACTAAAAGCTTGATCTTTGAGGTTTAAAAGAAACCCTGAGGGTAATGAAAGTTAGACACTATGAGTCCCACATTTCTGACTTCCATTTGGTGGTGAGCTGTGTGTTCCTTGATTTCATGCCACCGCAGATGGACATTATAAAGGATTTCAAATATATCTGACTGAAATATCCTTTTACAGGAAAGCCATATGTAACATGCCAAGAATCATATTTGCATTTCATTTATAAGAAAATGGGGCATGAGATATACAAATGAACATCCTTTCACATGGTCAAGAATATTTTCCTGCTTTCAATATAGAAGGCAAAGTACTCATTTCCTTAAATGACTTTGATTTCTTGAGAACAGAGGTGTTTTTCAAGACTTCTAATTTCTTCCTCTTATCTTTACGGGTTTTTCTTTTTTTCCCTTACCAAGTTTAAGATGCAAGAGAAGTTTAAAAAAAAAAGTCTTAGTTCCACTTTCTGATTTTCTGGTTGCTGCTTCTCTATGCTCTGAAGCAAGTATGCCAATTAATACTGTGTAGAGCAGAAACGGCTCCATCAGGGCCCCAGTTTATGTCACTTAACAAGTTAATTAAGCTCTCTGAAATTCACTTACCATCACAGCCTTAACCAAATAAAATGTACTATATAATTAAGCATGTTACAGGTTAAATGTTATTAAAAACTATATATTAAATGCTATTAAAAACTATATACTAAACCACTGAAAACAAAATATACATACACTTTTGTAGACTTTAGCATAGTAATACATTGAAATGCACTAATATTTAACTGTTGAGCTATATGTATTCATTTGGATATAAGGAAACAGAATTACAGGTGCATCATAAGCCACTAATAAGTATGATTATTGGTAGCTGGAGAAACATTAAGTGAAGCTTCTAGACTGGTAATAAAGTATATAAGTACAAATTAAAATATGACATATTAAGCAAGAAAATGAGAAATCAGACTTTATAAAAACATCTAAAGGTAAGGTCCACTCAAACCAGACAAACTAGCAACTAGAAAATAATTTTGCTACTGACAGCCTGGGAAATTTATTTTTGCTAAGTCTAGTAAATACATCCAGAATTCTATCATAGTGTTTTCCAAGCCAGGCTAAGATGTAGTGGAAAAAACAACCCCATTAGAGAGACTCGCAGGCTTGTTTAAAATGTTTACTCCTTGCTCAGCTCCAGATGGACTCAGAATATATTGAAGGGAGTCAGAGAATCTCCATGTTTAACAAAGAGTTTATTTATTTTCCTTTCCCTTTCTTCCTTTATTCCGGTTGGTTCAGAGTTTAGTTTTTTGAGAGTGTGTCTTTCTACGCAGTCCTGGTTAGCATGGAACTTGAATGAAGACCAAGCAAGCGTCCAACCTGTGGCCTCCTGAGTGCTAGGGTTACAGGTGTGCACCACTGTTTCCAGCTATTGCTTCTTTTTAAAATCAACTTATTCACTTAAAGATCACTCATACGGGCACAAACAGAATAGTCAAGCATTCTAGGAATTAGTGCTCAGCATTTTAACACCAAGAACAAAGTTAGAAAAACATGTTTACATGGTTACCCTCATAGTTACCATTATTGTTATTATTTTAGCAGTGAGCTTTAATTGCTTCAAACTACATGCCCCTCATTACCAGGCCATCTGAGACACTTGTTTTGATTCAGTTTTGGCTCTTTGAGCTAACACTTTGCAGCAGGTGCAGACAAGATGCAGCAGCATCTGGCAACCTATTCAAATCTTACTTTAAAAAGCAACAAACCTATACCTCTCTTCAAGGCAAGAGACTGTGATCAGCTAACCCTGGACTTTCTAGCATATAGAGAACGCTACAGTAATATCCGCTTCATCGAGGCAACCCCTAAAGTCCAACGGACTCTCCAGGGAACAAGCCTTTTTACTAGGGGCCCACAGGGCCTAGACCCTCCAATGTCCTTAAGTGGCCTCACCTGGCAACGCCACTTTGCATACGTAGGACAGGTGGGCAACAATAAGGCGGGTAAAGCCTGGCAATCTCCAGTACACAAGTTCAAGGAAGTAAAGATCGGTTCCCCTCTCCCCCTCTAGTCCTCTCAGGAAGAGGATGGAGAGCGCCTCCCTGTCATCTCCAGAGGGAAAGGTGTCAGAGGTTTGCATCCCCTCCACCCTTGCTCAAGACACCGAGGTTTTCCTCCCCGTCACCATCACAACGATTAAAGCCGCTAGCGCTTACTGGCCGTCACCATTTTCCTCTTCCGTCTGCCTCCGCCACGCGTGTCGCGTCCCCGCGCAAGCCGCGCTTTATAGACGTTTCCCGCACTAGCCGGTGCGGTTCTTTCAGCCCCTGACCGGCCACTCGTACCTCCCCCTCGGCCTCTCGGCGACACCGGAGCGACCCGTCCCCCGCCTCCCGCCTCTCTGGCTTACCTGGGTCTTGACGAGACTTGAGAGGAAGCTCAGGGTGACCAGCAATTGCACGGCGGCCGCCGCCCCCTGCCCGGCGACGGCCCGGCGGAACCCCGGACTCATGGTGACCTCGGCCGCTCGGAGCTGGGGAACGGCGGGCCGCCGCGATGACGACGGCTGGAGGCAGTGCCCGGGAACCGGGAGCCTCCAGGACTCGAGGTCTGCGCGCCGGCCTCAGGATGGAAACGCTCTACGGTCCCCAGTAGCAGCGACTGATGTACCAGCGCTGCGCGCCCCCGCTTCATTCCAGGAGGCCCCGCCCCCGGCGTCCTCAGTTGTGATCACGCCCTCTGTGCAAAGCCTTCTGGGAGTCGTAGTCCCGGCATCCCCCGCCCCCACCCACCCACCCACACGCTACGGGAAGGCCTTGAAAATGGAGAACTACGGGTTGGGGAGGCGCTCTGCTTCCCTGAGGCGGGGCTCTGCGGCGGCCAATGAGGCGGGACCACGAGGGCTCCAAAACACCCAAGAGGGGCGGGAGAGCGGGTACTGTGTTAGGGGTTGGCGGTGGCAACGAAGCCTCTGCCTTTCGTCGCTCTGGAAAACGAGGCTGGGGGCCTCGCAGGGCTTCCGGTATTGTGCCGGTTGTTCCTTGTCACCGCTTGTCCTTTTGGAGCCAAGACATTCTTAATAGGCAAGATCTTAACCTGCTGTCCCAAGAGCTTTCTTTGCCTCCTTTCTCACCTCTGCAGTTACTTAAAACCACCTGGCATCTTGTCAAGGTAGCTTCAGCACCTCCTTCATGTCACACGCCCCAGAAGTGAATGCCATTGCCTGGTGTCTCCCCTACTCCTCTACTAGCACCGGAAAATCTGTAACGCACTTTAAAGCATGAAGAGAGCACCAAACCCACACAGCGAAGAGGAGAATCGGGATAAAGGCACAGAAAAACTAGAAGCGACGTGAGCTATTTTAAAATTACTACCTTCTAGTTACAAGCATTGCAGCTCAGATGGAAAGGTACCCTGGCAGTCGGGAGTCAAGGAATACCACAAAGGCAGTCTCGTGGTCTTAATTACACCTCAAATATTGTCCTAGGACTATGTAAGGTTATGTACATAGGCTTCCTGTAGTCCCTAGCAAATAGGAAGTATTCGATAAATGGTAACCGCTAGCTTTGTCAATATCCCTGGGTTATAGGAAACACGTTAGGTAGCATGTATCAGCTTTCGATTGTTGATGTAACAAATGACCAGAAATTTAGTGGCTGAAAACAAACAAATGTATTATCTTACATTCTGGAAGCCAAAAGTTCAAAATGAATCCACAGAACTGCATTTGTCTGGAGTATTCTAGAGAACCATGTTTCCTTGCTTTTTCCACTAGAAGTTTTTCTAGAACCACTTACATCCTAGAGTCAGGACTTCACACAGCACAGTGGGCATAGCCTGCTTCCGCTGCCACGTGCTTTCTGACCCTATCTCTCTGGTTCCCCTACAGATAAAGACCTATTGCCTGGGGCTCACCCAGACAATCCAGGCAATCTCTGTATCTCAAAATCTTTAATCATCGCATCTTCAAAGATTCTTTTGCCACTTCACATTTACAGGCTCCAGAGATTAGGGCAGGGACACTAATTAGTGACTGCCCACTAATCAACCCAGCCATGTTTTATATCTTTCAGAGAGTGTTCGCATACTGGATTCCTCCGGAGCTACTGCATAATCTGTAAGGTCAGCTAGACATGAAAGTTCAAGGACTCTTTTTGAAAAATGTGAGAACTTTCAAGACAGTGACAGCAGAGCAACGAGCCAAGTGCAAGGCCCTGCAACTCCACGAGTCTCCTCATGAAGCTAGCTAGTGCCTTGGTTTCCTCCTCCCTTCTTCTTTTGTTTCCACTCCGGATCAGGCCTTCTTTACTTACACAACCAACTTCCACTTGCTTCTTAAAGCTTCTTTTAGCTGGGTGGGTGGTGGCGCACCCTTTTAATCCCAGCACTCAGGAGGCAGAGGCAGGCAGAGCTCTGTGAGTTCGAGGTCAGCCTGGTCTACAAGAGCTAGTTTCAGGACAAGCTCCAAAACTACAGAGAAACCCTGTCTCGAAAAACCCAAAAAAAGGGGGGGGGCTATCATTTTCCATACTTCTCATTTTGTTGTGCTTTGGATATGCAGGGGGACTTTCCCTGAGTTCCTTTGTGCTTCATTTGGCCCCGATAACACCATGGAACATGGCCATATTTTTTTTAGTTATAAACTGTACTATTTTATTTATTATTTATTTTGGTTTTTCGAGACAGTGTTTCTGTGTGTAGCCCTGACTGTTCTAGAACTTGCTCTGTAGACCAAAGTGGCCTCAAACTCAGAGATCTGCCTGCCTCTGCCTCCCGAGTGCTGGGATGAAAGGCATGCACCATCACCGCCCAGTGTAAATTGCTCTATTTTAAAATCTCAAGTTTTTAATATCTGCTATCAAGGGCAGAAGCCATGACTATCATCCTGAGCACTGCAGGGTCTCTGTCACCGAAGAAACATTTGAGTTATCAATAAACGTTTGCAAAAATTATAATGGAGTCACATGGCACACAGTGTTTGTCTTTCAGCTCAGAAACTCGACTCACAATGTTTGGAAACATTTTTCCCTCTTGGTGAGTAAAGTCAGAAATGGGTGTTTTCCATGAGAAAGAAAGGTACTGAGGGCCACGCTGACCTGTGCTGTGATCTGTTTTCGTGTTTGTTGTACTGAGCAGTGTGAGGGGATTGTGCATTGAAGAACGAGCTGCTGCCATAGTTTTAGCCTTGCTGTTTACTTCTGCTTTTCTTTTTCTTTTTTTCAGAATGGGAAAATTTATTACTGTGCTTCCATTGCCAAAATTTAGGATCTTGGTCTTTCCGTCTTGCTTTTGTACAGGGCCAAAAGGGACACATTGGCTACTTTAACAACCTTAAAGTGGACTTCAGGATTGGCCTTCAGGGCTGTGCCCAAGTAGGCTTTCTTGTATTGTTTATCATGCCACTTCAGGTCCTGTCGGTGGCTGTGGTGCTTCCTGGCAGTATGGAGACCACAACACTTGCCCATCTTGCCAACACCACAGGCCCGAGAGAAAGTTACTTCTGCTTTTCTTAAAACCAACTACATAGCAACCAGTATTAGGGCAGGCATTGCCTCTGTGACGCCAACCTTGCTTCCTACCTATAATCCTCAGTTTCAAACTTCCCATCCTAATGATGGGGTTGGAAGTTGAAACAGGAAGGCCAAACCACATCCCTTTAATGGCAAGCTATAGGAAAAATTCAGATCCAACTAAATTTAAAAAGAAAAATAATAGTAAGTAGAAAAAAATGACAACTCACGGGACTGAACAAGGCCTCACCACTTACTGCTCTGGAAGGGCGAATCCATCAGGGTGTAATTCCGGGACCAAGAGGAGTAGGGACTATTGGCTAGTCTTTTCCAGAACATTGCCGTTGTACTGACTCACTGCTTCCGGTTAATTTTTGTCATTTTCTCTCCCATTCAAATCCCTCAGGTTTAGCTAAGATAGACCATACTGGCTGGTTTTGGGTACCAGCTTATCACAAGCTGGAGGCATCAGAGGACGTGCCTCCATGAGATCCAGCTTTAAGGCGTTTTCTCAATTAGTGATCAGTCCATGATGGGTGGTGCCATCCCTAGACTGGTGATCCTGGGTTCTGTAAGAAAGAGGCTGAGCAAGTCAGGGGAACCAAGCTAGTAAGCAGCTCTCCTCTGTGGCCTCCGCATCAGCTCCTACTTCTGGGATCCTGTTTGAGTTCCTGTCCTGACTTCCCCAAATCTGAAAGTGTAAGCCAAATAAGCCCTTTCCTCCCCAACTTTCTTTTTGGTCATGGTGTTTCATTGCGGCAAATGAAACCCGAACTAGGACAGAGGGGAAGAGAAAGAAGAGAGATAAAGAGAAATAGAGAACACAAAAATATTGACAAGCCCTCAGGACTACAAAGAATGGAAAGAGGCTAGGTACACAGATGCACAGCAAGACCCACTCCCTTCCATTGTTAACAGAGGGAAAGAGGCTGAACAGACCGAAACGATAGCTGCTTCCTTCAGGAAGCCATACTATTACTGTGTGTGTCGTACAAATTCACTTCTAACCCCCTGTGGTAGTAGAGATTGAACCTCGGGCCTCACACATGCTCTACTGCTGAGCCATATCCCCAGTCTTCTTCATATTTTAATTTTTAAGTAATTTTTATTTGTATTTACATGCACGTGTATGTGCCTACTTTTTGTGCACATTGTACATGCCTGTAGAAAACAGAATAAGGTATCAGATCCCCCCGCCCCGAACTGGAATTTTATGATAAAGATGCTTGGAACAGAACTGGGGTCTTCTGTAAGAGCAGCAAGTGCTGATAACCACTGAGCCATCTCTCCATCTCCCCCCCCCCCCTTTTATTACTAAGTTGCCTAAAGAGGCCATGGAATTTCAATTCTCCTGTCTCAAGCCTCCTGAATAGCTAGAATCGCAGCCTGTGCCATCAGGTCTGGCTTTCAAATACACTTTTATTTACCTTGGCTTGCATTCACACATCCATTAAATCTTCTCAGATGTCCTGGTCTTCGGGTACACTGAAAAGTATACATCAGGATACTGGCCAGCCAAACGTAGCAATATTATGTTCTTGCAGATAATGTAATTCATTATTTACAAACCACCTGGCTTAGACAAGCTTAATTATCTGGAACTAAGCTGAAGGAAAATTATTTTTTTTAAGTGGAAAAAATACATGAGCCTTCCAGCTCAATTTTGGGAAGGGTGAGGGCCAGCTTTGTCAATTAATACAACTCCTTCAGGACAAACAGTGATGATTTCTCATTGATGTGGTTGGGATAGATTACAGTTAATTCTGTGGGAGAATCAATCTTAGTACAGATGATGTATTACTTTTCTCATTGTTATAACCAACTACCCAACAAGAAGCAACAAGGGAAATAGGTTAGTCCATCATGGGGCTAGGGAGATCCACAGAAGCAGGGGGACAGGCTCTAATCTGTAGTAGTGGGAGCATGAGGCTGTATGCTCATATCTCAGTGGACTAGGAGACTAAGGAAACATCAGGCTATAAACCTCATACCTACCCACTCTTCCCCTCACATACCAAACACAGACATACACACACACACAAACACACACACACACACACACCACACCACACCAGAAACTGATTTCCTCAAGCCAGGTCCCCTTCTAAAGCACTTGCAATCTCCCAAAACAATGCTACCATCTGACCAAGGATTCAAATAAAGGAACCTCTGGGGACATTTTATATCCAAATTATGACAGATGGTAAGCCATGATTTTATTTCCTGTACCTCTCAAAGGAGCCTAGCCTAACTGAGCATGAGTGACCCGGGTATGTTTCACCGTTTGTAATGGATCGTGTGAATGGCACTTAACCCTCTCCCCAGCCCTTTGTTTTTGTTTGTTTCCTCTTGCTAGTTTCCCAGACAGGCCTTGCCATTTTGAGCCTCCTTCCTCAACCTTCTGAGGAGCTGGGATCACAGGCCTCTGCCACAAAGGCCTGGTCTTCAGATTCCCTCTTCATGGGAGACTGGCAGATGGTTTATTGGCTATGCAAGAACGAAGATTTGACTACTATCCACGACCTTCATCCAAATCTGACAATCTTATGGTCTGAGTTGGAGTCCACTTTTCTCATGAATAGAGTATAAAATTTTAGGCAAACCTATCTCACACTATCTTCTTTTTAAATCTCAATCCCTATGAACAGCAATTGATGTCTATATTTGTTGATTAGTTGTGTTGTTCACTGTGTCATTTATTTTAGGACTTACCAGGATGTAGGGCCCCTGAATGTTTCTTGTGGAGAACTGGATAGTGTCTGTATTTTGGAAAAGAATATTCCTGAAAATTGGAGTAAAATGAAAGACAATTTTTCATTAAGACATGAACAGCAGTATATTTGGAGAACAAGAAGACTGGGGATAACAGACTGCCACACTGCTGGAATCTCATTACCAGAAACGATTACTTTATAAAAGCTTTTTCTTTAAAGTATGTGAATGGGTGTTTCCTCTGCATCTATGTCTGTGTGCCACATGGGTGTGCAGGACTCAAGGAGACCAGAAGAGGGCATCAGATCCCACCCCCTTGACTAGCGTTACTGACAGCCATGAACAACCAAGAGGGTGCTGGTAATTGGACCCAGATCCTCTGGAAGAGTTGCCAAAGCTCTCAGCATCTAAGTTGTTAAAGTTTCTCTAAAGGAAAATAGGGTGACGGCAGCGGGGATTGGGGGATATAGCCGACAAGAGACAATAAAGGAGAATGAGTCCTATCAAAATGTTTTAGATCCACAATGCAACTAAAACCTTGATAAAATTAGCTTTTGCTGTTGTTGTAGCCTCAAGAACTTTTTGAAATGTCTATTGCTGCTGCTGCTGCTGCTGCTGCTGGTTTGTGTGTTTTAAGCAAAGCCTTACATACTCCCTCAGGTGGATGACCATGATGTCACTAACAAAGTGACACTAAGTTTGCACATTTCCCAGGTGTCTTCAAGTGCATTGTGTTTCTTTGATGGCTCTATGGCATGGAGAGCTCCTGACTTCTAATGAGGAAAATCTGACCAACGGCTCTAAATAAAAGTCAAGGCAATAGAGTGGAAATTTGGTAACACCAGTCATTTTTTTCTCGATAGTAAGCCGAATTGTGATTAATGAGCCTGCAAGGTGGCAATCTGACGTGTTTAAACAACTGTGCTGATAGTCCCAGCATGTCAACAAATGACCATAGGGACAGATTGTTTTTTTCCTTTTCTTTCTTAATGGGATCGCCATCTGTGACTTACAAGGGACTTTTCGTTTGATGATCACATCTCTGAATTATAACTGAGGGGATTTCTTCTTCTTTTCTTTTGTAATGAATTGGAATTAAAGGTAATGAAAACCAAAGAGCTTGGCTGGCGTATGGCTCTGTATTAGCTATTCTTCTTTTAAAGTGTTCCTTGTGCTCCTTCGTGTTTGCCCAGCTGCAACATTCAAGTGTGTTTACTAAGTAGTATTAAAACTGATAGACTTGAATCTGTTAAGAAGCTTTGCTATTCCCAGAGGGATTAACAGGTTTTATGCAATTTGGATAAAACCTTCTTTTGTAGAACAGATTCAGTATGTTACTATGCTAAAAGGAAATATTTAATCTCTTATTTTCTTTGTAATACTGGGGGTTGACACTGGGATTTCAGCCATGATAGGCAACTGATCTGACACTGAGCCATCCCCTGAGGCCTCTTTTGACTTTCTGTTTTGAGATATGTTTTTAATGAGTTGCTTAAGATGGCCTTGAATCCATGCTGTAACCCAGATTGGGCTTAAATCTGTGATCTTCCTTCTTCAGCCTTTCAAGTAGCTAGGATTACAGGCCTGTGCTACTAGGTTTATCTATAATCTATGATTTGATGGGAGTGGGACAGTTAAATAAATGAAAACGCTAGAATCATTTCCGTGCCAGTTTCTCCCTCTCACCTTGTGATAGTCAATGTTGTTAGGTCGGCAGCTGTAGAACCACCTAGGAGAGAAATTCCGGGGATGCCCGTAAGAGAGCTTCTAGATTGGGTTAACTAAGATAGGAAAGTCAACCCTAACTATGGACAGCATTCTTCCATGTGCTGGGCTCCTGAATAAAAGGAGAATGCAAGAATACCATCCTGTGTAGGCCCAGCCATGACAAGCTCAACAGAGGTCTGAGTCTCAGTAGTTTACCCTAAGGGAATACCTAGTTCCCAGAAAGACCACAAACTGAGACTACCCAGGTACCACCCAGAAACAGACCATCCAAAGGAAATTCCTAACGTTCCAACCATTGTAGATAGGATCACCTGCCAGCTCACCCCTAGACAAATGTCAGCTAATCAGGATTGAACCCGTCGCCCCACACCTTGCTAATGTATTTTTTTTTTGTCTTTAAATAGTGCCCTCTAGAAGGGCAGGGTACCTCCTCTTGCCATTGCTGCGCTGACGAGGTCCCTGCCAACTTGTAATGTGCACACAATAAACTTTGCTTTTAAATTTCGGTGAGTTGGTCTCCCTGGTAGTCTTTTGGGGTCCCTATGAACTGAGCATAACACCCACTTTGTGCTTTCTGCCTGTGGTTACAATATGACCAGCTGTATTACACTCCTTCTGCCATGCTTTTCCTATAATGATGAAATGTACTCACAAACCATAAGTCAAAATAAGCCCTGCCTGCCTGCCTTCCATCTTTCCTTCCTTCCTTCTTCCTTCCTTCTTTCAGTACCTTCTGTCATGTATTTTGCCAAAAGCAACAAGAAAAGTGGTAAATATACTCCTGTAAGATCAGGGCCTTCACACTATCACAAAATCGCATGACCCCCCGCACTTTTTGAAATGGGATTACCCATTTGAACTGGGATTACCTGGCTAAATCCCACTTTCATCTACCCCCAACACACCAGCAACATTTTAAAAGTAAGAAGAGCTAATACAGAGTCACACACCAGCCAGAGCTAATCTCAGTGTAGGTGCACACTGGAAAATATTTCTTTAACATGAAAATGAGCATCAGAGGAACTAGAAACAGGACAAGACCATGGTGGTGGTTTGAGTAAGAACGGCCCCCATAGGCTTAATGTATTTACCAGGGAGTGGAACTGTTTGAAGAGATTAGAAGGATTAGGAGGTGTGGTCTTTTTGGAGTAGTGTGAACTTGATGGATGATGTGTGTCATTGGGGTGGGCTTTGAGGTTCCAAAAGTCTATGCCAGGCCCAGTCCCTCTCTACCAGCTACTTGAGGACCAGGATGTAGATCTCTGGGCTACTCCTCCAGCTCTATATCTTCCTATATGTCACGATGCTCCCCACCATTGTTGTAGAATTTTATTTTAAATAGGCAAAGATGTGTTACATTTGTTTATGCTATGGGATATTACTTGACCTGTATAAAGGTTATTACATTTGTTTGTGTTGCATTTGTTTAATAATGTAGGGATGTGTGTTTAATTATTTAAAGGTGTGTTGCATCTGTCTCACCTTGCCTGCCCAAGGAACCTGATTGGTCTAATAAAAAACTGAATGGCCAATAACTAGGCAGGAGAGGGATAGCAAAGAATGAGAAGAAGAATGAGAGAAAAAGAAGGGAGGAGAGAACGAGGGGGACACCTGGGACCAGCCAACCAGTTGCCAGTCAGCAGGCACGAGAAACAGCTATGGTAAGATATACAGAAAGAAATTAAAAGGCCCCAAGGCAGAAGGTAGGTAAATAGAAACAGTTAAATTTAAGTTAGAAGAGCTAGCCAGAAAAGAGTGAAGCTAAGGCTGAGCATTGAAAACTAATAATATGGGAGCTAGTTGGTGGTTCCTAAAAAGATGCCTGGTATACACCATGATGACAATGGACTAAACTCTGAAGCTATAAGCAAACCCCAAAGTGCTCCCCTTTATAAGAGCTGCCTTGGTAATGGTGTCTCTTCAGAGCAATAGAACAGAGACTAGGACACTGGTCTAAGGGACTGCAGAGAGGGACAGGGAGACCAAGGCTATAGATAGTGGTGTGGCTGGATGTGGATTCTGCCTGAGTTCTGCTCTTTAATCAGTTCCCACCCTCAGCCACTGCGAACCTTGAGACATTTATTTCTCCGAATTCAGGAGTCTTTCCCTGAGTGAAATCGGGTTGATGCAGTGACTTTATCCCTGCCTTGTGCTGTTGCTGCTTCTCCAAAAGTCTTCCCCATTCGTTACTTTGTGGTGAAATTCAGAAAATGATAGTTTCATACTGTGTAAGGATATTGAGTTCTCAGAGATCCACATCCCACCAGGATCTTCTCCACTTGAGCAGAACGGTCGTCTAACATTTAGGATGTACACACCTGTGATCCCACTGCTGGAAAGGTGGAGACCAAGAATCCCTGGGGCTCGAGAGCTCACCAGCCTGGTCTGGTCAGCAAGCTCCAGACCAATGGGAGGCCCTGTCTCATAAAACAAGATGAATGGCTTCTGGAGAGCAACATTCAAGGCTGGCTTCTGACCTCTGTGTGCATCTGCGTCCACATAGTCAAAATAAAATAAATAAAATACATATACAAAATTCATCCTGTGATGATGATGATGATGATGATTGGAAAATAAAAGACAAGCTTAGTACATACTCTTCAGGGCATGAAATGTGCTTCTTCCCTTGCTCTTCTGGTTGGAAGCCCTGGGCTTCTCCTTGAGTGTGACTTCCCACAGTCCTGCACTGTGCATCCTGGGAAATCCTCTAGATCCTAAAGAATGAGCTAAGCCAATTTTGCTGTCCCCCTTTTGTATGACAGCCCTGGCTGTCCTACTTGCCTTGTAGACTAGGCTAGCCTTGAACTCACAGAGGTCTGCCTACCTCTGCCTCCTGAGTGCTGGGATTAAAAGTGTGAAAAATTACTTTCTATTCTATTGAACTATAAAATTATCTGGCTACTTCTCAGAAAACTTTATTTCCTTTCTTGCATCTTGGTGTGTATGTATTTATGGGTGCATATTTACATGAAGGCCAAGAGACCTACAGTCAACATTTGGGTGTCATTCCTCAACCATTCTCCTAATTTTTGAGACAGGTTCCTTGCTGAACCTGAATCTCATCAATTTGGGTAGCCTGACTGAGCAGTGAGTTCCAGAGATCCTCCTGTCTCCACTCCCCCCCCCCACCGGGGATTCAAGCATGCACCACTGCACCTGTCTTTTTACATGGTGGTCAGGGATCTGAACGCAGGTTGTCATTCTTGCATGGCAAGCATTCTGAGTGCCTACTATAGAGCTAATGCCATGTGCCCCCCTGATGGAATGGGATTTGTATGTCATGCCGTTGAAAAGGCTGGTGAATGGGATTAGTGGCCTTGCAAAACAGACTCCAGAGGACTGTAGAAATGCTCAGTAGTTAAGACCACTGGCTGCTCTTCCAGAGGACCCAGGTTCAGTTTCCCAGATCTACATGGTAGCTTGAAACCATCAGTAACTCCAGTTTCAGGGGATTTGACTTCGTTTTGTAGTCTCTGTGGACACTAGATATGCATGTGATGCACAAATATACATGTAGTCAAAACATCCATACAATTGAATCTCTCTCTCGATATATATGTATATGTATATCTATCTATTTATCTATACACACACACATATATCTCAAAGGGGACTCTAGGAAGAATCTTGGCTGGAGAGATAGTTCAGTGGTTAAGAGCACTGGCTGCTCTTCCAAAGGACCTGGGTTCAATTCCCAACGCCCACATGGCAGCTTACAACTGTCTGTAACTCCAGTTCCAGGGGATCTGATACCCTCACACCAACCGCGCAGAAAATAAAAATTTTGGAAAAAGGAGTCTTTGGTTTTTGGGTTTTTTTGGGGGGGTGGTTTCGAGAAAGGGTTTTTCTATAGCTTTGAAACCTATCCTGGAACTCATCTGTAGACCAAGCTGGCCTCGAACTCAGAGATTCACCTGCCTCTGCCTCCCAAGTGCTGAGATTAAAGATGTGCACCACCACCACCCAGCCAGTCTTTATTCTTTCTGCCATGTAAGGACATAACAAGTGGACAACAGTGTATGAGCCAAACCTGCCAGTCCTTTGACTTACACTTGCTTACCTTTTTAACTGGAATAAAATCCCATGGAGGTGGACAAGACCTGTCTCATTTGTCCTCTGCACACGGCGGAGCCCTGGACGTGAGGAAGTAACTCAGTAACTATTTGTTGACCTAGTGAGTGACAGCGTGGACATCTTGCCAAGGACTTTCCATCTCAAGGTCCATAAATGCCCTGCAGCTCAGTGTTACAAAAATAACCTCGTGAACAATGAGGATAACAGAAGCAGCCTGGCTTAGGAGGACAGGGATCCTGGCTAAAACAGCTGAAATAATACACAGAAGACAAGGGATGCAGCAACGATGAAGGAGGTTCCCGGTGCCCAGGCAACAAGAGTGCTGAAGTTGGTGACAGCTGTGTCTGCTGAGCCAGATTCAAGGAGTAAAGTGTGATCCGAAACAGAAGCAAGTTAACTCAAAGTCATGCAGCTTATTTTCCAGTAGGCAATTAATGCCTCCCTACTCCACGTGCCCAGTTCCCTGGGCTCTCTGAGAACAGGAATGATCCAGTCAACACAGAGTGAAGCAAACAAGAAACCCTGGTAAATATCCCAGCATGGGGAAAGCATAGTTGACTCTAGCTGAAACCCGGACTTGCTAATGTCCCCAGAAATCCCAAAGTTAGGGGCTGGAGAGATGGCTCAGTAGTTAGATGTGCTTAATGCTCTTTCAGAGGACCCAAGTTCAGTTCCCAGCTCCAAAGGATTGGAAATCCTCTTCTGGCCTCTGCAGGCACCTTCACTTACATGTACATATATGCACAATTAGAAATATATTATTTAAAAACAAAAATTGAGCACCTGGGATGTGGTTCAGTTGGTAGAGTGCTTTCCTAGAATACATGAAACCCTGGCTTCAATTCCTGTACTGTGTGAGCATAGCATGCAAGTTCACCACATGCATACATAATCAAAAATAAAATATATCTTTAAAAAGAAATCTTGAAGTTATTTATTATAGTCATGTTTGCTATCATTCTTATGATCATATATTGATTGTACAGAGCAAGGAGTTTCTTTATGATTACTTTATACGTATACATAATGTACTTTTAATCATATTCACCCTCAGCTGGAGAGATGTCTCAGCAGTTAGGAGTACTGACTGCCACAAATCACACTCTCAGAGAACCTAGACAACAATGAGGACCCTAAGAGAGATATACATAGATCTAATCTACATGGGAAGTAGAAAAAGACAAGATCTCCTGAGTAAATTGGGAGCATGGGGACCTTGGGAGAGGGTTGAAGGGGAGGGGAAAGGCAGGGAGCAGAGCAGAGAAAAATGTAGAGCTCAATAAAACTTAATTTTAAAAAAAGTACTGGGTGCTCTTTCAAAAGGCCGAAGTTCGATGCCCCACACCCACATGGCAGCTCACAACCATCTCCACCTTCAGGAATCGATACGCTGGTTATTACTTGGTCTACTTGGGTATCAGAAAGAGCAGAAATGGAAATACTGATTCCCAAGGATCTTAGTCTCCAACCCCAACGTAGTTCTACAAACTTATTCCCATACCACAGCTGCTTCCTTACTCGTGTGGACTAGGATTTACCCGCATGCTCTTAGCATGTCCCTCCATTCTACTTCAACAGGATAAGCTGATTCTGTATTTACTTTCCACTAAGACATAAAGTTGGAATAGGTGAACGACCTAGAAGGAATGCTGTTCTGTTTGCTAAACAGAAACATTTCTTCCTTATATATAACTCCAGGCTGAAAAAAAAAGAGGGTGAATATGAATAACATTTTAAATTTAATTTTATGTGCATTGATGTTTTGCCTGTGTGCGTGTCTGTGTACCACACGTCTGCCTGGTGCCTGGCAAGGCCAGAAGTGGGTGTCAGATCCCCTGGAACTGAAGCTGGAATTACAGACAACTGTGAGTCACTATGTGGGTGCTGGAAATTGAACCCAGATCCAACGGAAGGGCAATGTTTTTAACCACTGAGCTACCTCTCCAGCCCATCAAAATACAGTATTTTTTTTATCATACTAGCTAACAACATATGGCTTTTGTTATGAATATTAACTGAGTCCTCATAACCATGTCATTGGTAGGCATTTTGCTCCCACATCGTAGATGGCTTATGCACCTTTTCTAAATACAGGCAGCTTCAAAGGAAATGGAGGAATCAGAATTTGCAAGAGGCCTTTTCCCCAGCGCTCTGGCTCTGCACCACTGTACAATCTTAGTGGATCTGACCCTTGCTCCTAACACCCTGACTTGGCTGTCATACTCCACACTTCCACCATTTGCAACTGAGAAGCCATGTTTAAATCAATATATGAGAGGGAAGTAGAGAACATTCCAGGCTTAGAAGCTGTAGGATAAAAAGGCCAGCCAAACAAACCAACCAATCCCTGAGCACGAAATCCAGCACCCTGACCCTGAACCCAGAGTCCATGAATGAAACACTTTATCCCTGAACCTAGAACCAAAGAAACACGCCCTGACTCTGAAACCAGTGCCAAAGAAACACACTTTGTTCTTAGAATTAGAGCCAGTTAAAGATATATGCCTTGGCCCTAAGGTTAGTGCCCAAAGGCTAAAAATGACGAGATAAAGAAACACAGTTTGGCTCTGAAATCAGAGCCATCTCTGTCCCTGACCAATTAAACTAACCAATCCCTGACCAGAAAAAACTTCTCCCTGGGAAAACTTCGTCCTTAAGAAGTCCTATATATGCCCCTCTGCCTGTTCAGTTGCCAACTGTCCTTCACCACTCTGGCAGGGCAGCTGCTCTCCTGGACTCCTCCTTCTCAAATAAGTCTCTTTCTCACAAGAGATTTAAGTGAAGATCTTCATTCACTGGAGCAGAATAGAAAAGCATTGCTGGGATGTCCCTTAGGGGACTGAGCAGAAAAACCTTGTTGATACATTCCCTTAGGGGATCTGGGCAAGGCTGAGCAGAATGAGCAGGAAAAAAATAACAACTTTTATCAGGACTCGGAGAAGACTGCTACACTTATGCAGGGGCTTCCCTTTAGCACAGTGTAGCAGAAAGAACACCTTGGGCTGCAGAAGTGGATAGTGTTCCCTTACGGGAACAGAGCAGAGCTCAGCTGTAGCGGTTCTCTAGGAGAGAAGCAGGGTTGCTATATCCTGCAGGGACACCATCTACTCCCACGCCCCAACTTCAAGTAGCCTGGCTTCCTGACAAGTCAGAAGATCTAGCTTCTCTGAAAAAACAAAACAAAACAAAACATGCAATACTTTTCTTTCCTCCTTCCCCTTTCCCATCAGGACGACCCGACGTACACAGTCCCACATCCACTGTCACGTCATACATATATGATGGCTCATTTTGTTAAACATAATGATCTTCAGGTCTACCTGTCCTCCTGAAAATGACATAATTTCATTCTTTATGACTGATGAAAACTCCCTTGTTGGAGCCAGAGAGAGGTTCCCTATGTAGCCAAGGAAGACTTGAACTTCTAAACTTCCTGCCTCCACCTCCTGAGTGTCAGACTCACGGGTGTGCATCCCCACACCCATGTTATGGGGTGCTGAGGTTCAAGTCTAGGCCTGAGCATGCTAGGCAAGCACTCTACCAACTGAGCTAGCTATATCCCCAGCCCTAACCAACTCCTTTCTAACTTACTTTCAAAATCCACTGTGCAAAGAAGAGTTCTACTTTTCTAAAGAGGAAGAAGAAAGTTAAAACCCTTGTTGTGTAACATTTCAGCTGCCCAGAGGCAATGCCACAGATGTCTCACAGTTTCCCTAGCCTTCGCTTCCCATAATAACCTAATTTCTGTTGCCTCAAGACAATTTGTTATCAAACTGGGACTCTTTAAAAAGCCTTTGGATCGTTCTCTCTAGTGGTTCCACTAGGTTTTACAGCCTCAGATTCATTGTCACATTGCTTCTTTTTTCATCAAAAGAAAACCCAATGTGGGGAGACTGCTTAGTCAGTAGCCTGCTTGCTGAACTAGGATGAGGACCTGAGTCTGATCCCCAGAATCCATAAGAAAAGCAGGCATGGTGGGATGTGCCTGGAATCCCAGCCCCGAGGAGGTGAAAACAGATTGATCCCTCAATAGATAATCCCCAGGGAGAGACCCTATTTCTAAAACCAAGGTAGGCAGTGTCTGAAGAATGACCTCTGGTCTTCAAATATATAGGTTATTTGTGCACGCGCGCACACACATACACACACATCTGCAAACAAAAAGTAAAAGAGAATTCATAGACAATGATGCAGGCAGGGGTAGGACAGAGAATACAGATTCACTTGCAGAAAGAGTATCTCCCGGAGAAGGAAAAAATGCTGGGTCATTTCTCAGAAGAAAGGAGCCCAGGGTTCCTGCCATACTACCAGAGAGCAGGCAGCCTCAGACAAGGGGCTCACTTGGGATTCATGGTGCATCGTGGCAAGCCAAGAAAGTCGGGCACCACTCCCCAGAGCAACAGCTTGGGTGATAAGGAGGTCTGTAGTTCAGAGCTTTCCCGTGATGCAAAGAACATACCCACGAGCATCCTGAGGGGTGGGGGAGCAAGTGAGATGCACGACACTGTCTTCAATGAAAACCTTCCTGCATTGCGACATATAAAGAATCTTCCTGACCTTAGGGACATAAAGAGGACACCAATGAGAGTGGCCATGTATGTCTCCCATTCTTCCAAGTCTTGGCATTCCTTCATCTATGACAGTGCCTCTCTGGGTCAGAGACTTCTGCTGTCGGCATGAAGAGGGTCCCCTGCTTCCTGAGCTCTCTGCCTGCTTAGGTTTGAAGCCCTGTCCCAGTTGTGAGACTCAAAACTACTGACAGACACTCCCCAGGTCCTCACCTAACATAGCATGGGTGCTACCAGCTAAAGCCTGCAATAACTCAAGATGTCTAGAAATTTTCCCAGCTGTGGAGTGTGGTGGCAGGCGCCTATAATCCCAGGACTAGGTTGAGGGCAGCCGCGGTTTACATACTGAGACCCTGCTCGATACTAATAAATGATAAAAAGGTAAACTATCTTTAAGATACAACACACAGATTAGTAAAACCAAACAGAAGTGTCACCAACTATTAGAGGTGACAGCGTGTGGTGGTTAACAAAACAACCATGCAC